ATTGAGAAACGTATCGAGAATGAATAGCATTTTCTTGCGCTTTTATATTTCATCCATACCAATCATTGGAATCTGAACGCTAACGTTCATATACAGTCGCAGCAGCAGATCCCTTGATAAATTGAATTGCCCTTAGTCGTCGCTAAAAAAATGGATATCGAACCCACCCTTCCTATTCCGATCTCGTATATTGGGGGTAGCTACTTTCTCTTCTCAATTGATGCAGTTACGTATGTGAGACGCGAGCATCACATTTGCGGCGTCTTAAGCGGCACATTGCCTCAAATCCCACAACAGAATGTCTTCCTGGGCTTGCCCTTGAAGCTAATGCCGGAAGAGGCCCGGTTGCTCGTGGAGAAAGGTGTAGCATGCATTGTAGACGAGGTAAAAGTCCAAAAGGACGGAATGCGAGCCCTCATGGAGGAAGATCGCAAGAAGTATCTCCGTGAGCTAGAATCTCAAGGCCAGCATGCTATGCGACTACAACACGACCGGAAGGAGCAGCAACGCGAGAAGGCTTTAAAGAAAATAGAAGAAAAGAAGGCTGCCAAGGCCAAAAAGTCTGCTGAAAAGCAGCAGCAGGAGGAGCAGCCTGACCCTGTTAATAATGAGGCTGCTGCTAAGGACCCGGTTGTTGACTTGTTCGCACACGATCACCAGTCGTCGCGCCGTTCTTCGTCTGCCACTGCTGCTCCCTTTGGCACTGTTATGGGAGTCACGCCTGCTACGTCTTATCCGCCTCTTCCGTATGAGTGGTCTGCTGAGCAAAAGCTACCCCTTCCTGATGTGCCTTCCTCATACCCTTTGTTCGCTCATCTTCACTCCGAAGGATACTACCTGTCCCCTGGGTTGCGATTCGGGTGTCAGTATCTTGCTTATCCCGGTGACCCTTTGCGGTTCCATTCCCACTTCTTGAGTGTGTCTGCTGAATGGGATGAAGAGTTGGATTTGATGAGCATCGTTGCTGGAGGTCGACTAGGTACTGGTGTGAAGAAGGGTTTCATGATTGGGGGAGCTGAAAAGAAGCTCGAGGGATCGGATGCTGGGGATCCCAGTAGTGTGAGGACTTTCAGCATTGAATGGGGTGGAATGTGATGTGCCTGAACTATATTCGACGTTCTCTTCGATCTTATTGATCGTCTCTGAGCTGAGCTCCGCATGCTGCGCGCGCAGCTTGCAGCGTATTCCATTGCTGCTTTTCTCCTCGGTGGAGTAGAAGCGCAATGCCAGAGGGGGCTGTGCAGCGCTGCAAATTGCATTTAAGCGCTCTCTCAAGTCCAGCAGAAATGCATACGGACTTTACTGCTGCAGCCGATAGTACTGTTACCTGACAAGGTTACGAGAATACTCTACAGCTGTCGATTCTTCCAGCTGACATTGGGCAGCGCAGTCCGGCATAAAGGACTTTGGTTGGAGGTTACCAACGCTATGAACATCATACCATGGCTAAATAACAAACATGAAATCAGAACGAAATCATTCTTAAATTATACAATTCAGTCTATGTCCGCGTACTCTTCTTATGATTACTACCGTATCAAAGAGGCCCTGGCCTCCATGCACAAAGGACATGTCTCAAGCCTGACTATCCTGCTGTACCGAATTGACAAGGCAATCGGTCTTGGGTCACTCCAAGCACTCACTCGACAGCAAGACTCGTTCACATCGTGAGAGGAGCATCAATCCTTCATCGAATATCAGATGCTGGTGCGAAGGCTGAGTAATGTCTCTTGCCTTTGTAGGATCTGCCCCCTCATAACACCATATGGATTTAAAATCTCCGTAGCGGCCCGTGCCTGCTTGATGCGAAGCCTGTCAGATGTGCTGCAGACGGCAGTACTCTCGATGGTGTATCTCCTTGCGTGTCAGCCTCGAGTAGTCTACCACAACTGTGGTCAAACTATACTCCGGTTCCAAGCTCTGCAGGATAATCTCCCTGGTCGTACCCTCGCGCAGTCCACCATATAGCGATCTAACGATCATTTCCACTAAAAGTCTTCCACCCTCCCAGCAGCCTAGATATAATCCACATTCCGCCACTTAAACTTCTTATTCGCTCTGTCCACCGGCCGATTCTGGAACTGACTGCCATGAAGCTCAAACACAAGCTCCTCCTTCTTATCAGAATCAGCACTCGCCTCCCCAGCCACGGCCGCCCCATCAGCATCAGCATCATCCGCCTCAGGCAAAGGCACACTAAACCGGAAGATAGTCTGCTCCTTAGGAATAGCTAAACCAAACAACCACATTAGCATCACACCCAACCCAAACTTCATCAATCATCAAAAGCGAAGAGGAGGAAAAAAAAAAAAAGGTGAAAAACATACTCTTAACCTCATCCTCCCTCGTAACCACCACAAACGTAAACTTCGTATCCCTCACCACAATGCCCCTAACCCCCACCCTCCCCTCACACCGACTCCTGACCACCTCCACCTCCGCACCATGAAAATCCGCACTGGAGAGCTTACTCCCATGCGACAACGGGGTCATGGGCGGCTTGAATTTCTTCTCCCCCAAGTCCAACATATCCTGCATATACCGCACCCACATGCCATGCAGTTCCTGGAAAATCGCATACTTGCATTCTTCCTTGGGGAGGTCGTATAGTCCTGAGGCGCGCTTCTGGCGCGCGGATAAAGGCTGCGGCTTTTGTTTGCGCAGGAAGTACTCTTTCTTGCGGAGGCGGTGGAGGCGACGCCGTGAGCGGTTGTCGGCGGGTGTTGGGGATGTTGGCCGCAGGTAGAGTGGCTTTTGTTTTATGCGCTCGGTGAAGAGTTGGGTTGCTGTGTCGGGGGAGTGGGCGCGTGAGAGGAGGGTGTGGGCGATGTGTGGTTTGGGAGTTGTCATTTTTAGGGATGGTTCTGGTTCTGTGATCGGGGGTGGGTGTTTGTTGGGAATTGGAGTGGTGGTTTAGTGGTGGTGGTGATGGTGACGGAGTTGATGGTGTTGGTGTTGGAAAATTGGTGGTTATCGGAAGTTGCTGATAAGATCACATGCTGATTGGGTTGGGTCCACTGGTTGGAGATGTATGCTACTTAGACTCTTGCATTCAGCATCAATTCATCGGGAATAGATTCGCATGTGAATTCTTCCATTTATATGACATGATGAAGTTACAGGATCGTCAATGAGAGGAGATTGATTAGTTTGAAGCAACTTCGACGCCAACTGTGACATGCTGGAGCTATATCAAGGCCTCGCCTACGAATTGATTGCCATAGCAAATAGCTCAATTCTGACGATACTATAGTGATTGCCAATCTGGAAACAAATTTTCTGCATCGGAGATCCTACAAGTGTCCTCTATATGGCTCATGAATTAGGATTACATACAAAATTACCGCATCTGGTCTTGTTTGTTAACCTACGCCTCCACAACATCAACCTATGCGGCAATGAAGCCCTCGCATCAGAATATAGAGCACGATGTATCGCTCAGATAAATTGAGAGCATAATTATCATACATAATATGCTGTATGTCTGAATGTCCGCCTCTTTTTTTTCCAAATCACATTATGGTTGCCGATCATCCCTCGGCATAAACGTCTTCCCCGCATATCACAAACTATATATACTACCAACCTGATCAACAGTGGGACATTTCCACCAGAACGAATGTGCAGCCAACAACTTACCAAAATGTCCAATCCAAGCAGCCTACCTCCATTCCCCTCCTCAGTCCCTACAGCCCCCCTCCTCCGTCTCTCACTTTCCAAATTACAAGCCCACGATGTCACAGAAACCCACAACCTCCTACAAGCCTGCAAAGACATCGGGTTCTTCTACCTCGATCTCCGCGACGCCGACGAGGGCACCAACCTCTTAAACAACGCAAACAAGCTCTTCCCAATAAGCGAAACCCTATTCGACCTTCCCTTGGATGAGAAAAAGAAATACGACCTCGCCAGCCAGAACTCCTACTACGGATACAAAGCGCAAGGCGCCATGATAGCAGACAGACAGGGCAACCTAGATGGGAATGAATTCTACAATGTTCTTATACCCACTACACCCTTCCTACATACACTTGAATCACACACACACACACACACACACACACACACTAACACTCACCTACATAGGTCTCCAAAGACGACATCTTAAACCTCACACCCCCCCTCCCATCCCCCCAAATCCTCCAAGTATCCCGCCCTCTCCTCTCATCATTCATCCAAACCTCCCACAACATCGTAACCCTCCTCCTCTCAATCCTAAGCACCAGCCTCTCCCTCCCCTCCTCTTCCACACTCCCCAATCTCCACCGCCTAACCTCCCCAAGCGGTGACCAAATCCGCTTCATCAAAGCCCCTCCTACCACCACCACCCAGAACCCCACACTAGGCGAACATACCGACTTCGGCAGCGTCACCATCCTCTTCAACCGTCTCGGAGGCCTCCAGGTCCTCCCTCCCGGGGCGGACGCAGAATGGACGTACGTGCGTCCCCTACCCGGCCATGCTATTATCAATCTGGGTGATGCGATGGTGAAGTTCACGAACGGGCTGTTTCGATCGAATATCCATCGCGTGGTTGCGCCGCCGGGACAGCAGGCGGGGTGCACGCGGTATAGTCTGGTGTATTTTGCGAGGCCCGAGGATGAGGTTCCTTTGCGGCGGTTGGAGTCGGATAGGATTCCGGCGTTGGGGGAGGGCGTGGTTGAGGAGGAGATTAGTAGTAAGGATTGGGTGATTAGGAGGGCGTTGGGGAGGAGGGTTGATTTAGGAAGGCCGGTGGATTATGAGAAGGCGGCTGGGACGGAGGGGGTGAGTAGGAGGTTGGGGGTGTAGAGTTGGGAGTTTGCAGTATATTTACAATGATTTTGTCCGTGGGAGTGGTGGTTACAGGAGCTTTGGTGTGCACCGAGAGGGTTTTTAGATGATTTTTGTTGGGCCTGGTTGATGCGTGGAGGGTAATACTAGAGGTTTATGTCGATCATAAGAAGTAGCCAGTATCTAGTGTCTGTAGTTTATATGATGAGAATCTTGTGAACGATAATCAGAGCCTTGGGAGCATTGCTATTGGTTTTCTTCAGTTGCTATAGACTTTCCTCGTACAATTAGTTAGACAATAAACTCACAACATAGTCAGCGGACTACTACTTCACTCAAAATCATCAGGATAATCATCCTCATCATCGAACGGCAGGCCGTGCATATCCGACACACCGCGTCCAGTAGACTCCTGAATCTTCTGCATCTGATGCCTCGACTGAGACTGATACAGAGCCATCTCATCAAAGTCTTCACGTCTATCAACTTGCCAATGCTGAGAACCGATAGTTCGAGGAGATCCTCCACCTACAAGATCATTCGCACGACCACCACCACCACGACGCCGATTCCTCGGAGGCGACATAACCTCCTCAGAAGCTCTCATAGACTGCTGGTTATAGCCAGAAGAGAATCTATGCAGAGCCCGATCACCAGACATATTAGGCAACCAGTCATCAGACCGTAACCGTTCAACAAAAGCGCGATGCGCCATATCAGCTCCGAGGACGCGCGAGACATAGTCATAGAATTCCTTGGACGCAGCTGCAACTTGCTGAACGTGCTTAACCTGCAAGAAAACCGGCTTGGACGTTTCCTCGGCCTCGAATTCCGCCAGCGCGATGGCCGTTTGACATCCGTTGCGAATCTGTCTCCCGTTCCAACGGGTTCCGGATTTACTGTTCTGCTCCCAGTTTGCGTCAGCCCACTCCAGGATGGGGCCGGTGTCGATGGTTAATGATGTCTTTCGCGACTTGGCTTTTTCTAAATTCATCTCCCAGATGGCGTGGTTCTGGCCTTTGTTGAGCCCTGGGTAGTAGAGAGCTAGGTGGATGCGAGAGACGAAGGCTTCGTCGAAGGATCCTACTCGGTTGGTGGTCAGGAATAGTAGGCCTTTGTAGTATTCTAGTACTCTTAGGAAGACTTTTTGTGTGGAATGTCAATGTCAGTAAGGATGGAGGACCTTGTCAAATAGAGTAGAAGGGGAAATATGCTCACCTGATACAATTGCGTTCCTTTCCAACTCCGTTTTGCTGCGCGCCGCAAGGAAGACGTCGGCTTCGTCTAGTAGTAGGACGCAATTCCACGCCTCAGCCTGGGCGGATATACGATTCAGCTTGTCTTCCACTACTTCCGCGCTTGTTCCCAAGTCACCGCAGGTGATCGGATACAGTGGCCTTTCAAGCCAAGCCGCCATACATTCAGCAGTCGAGGTCTTGCCTACACCCGGCTCGCCGTGGAGCAAGATAATAAGGCCTTCTCCTTTTCCTCTGACCACATCCGGATCAATTTTTTGGCTTTCTCCGTCCTCTTTCGACTTTCTATCTGCAAAATGGCGCTTCACCTGCGCGTAGAGCATTCTCTTGTGACCCGGCCGCAATTTGAGATTTTTCCAGCCATCGTCGGTAGGAACCGGACGCATGCATTCGAGGTCGCAAAGTGCCCAGCGACGGCGATGGAGATCCCATGCGCAAGCACGGTCGGGCATCATAACAAGCTCATCTTTGCTCCAGAATTCCTTCCTAGTTACTTGCTGTTCCGGGGCAGACTCTTGCCGAGCCAGGAAGGCATCGTCGCGGATGAAGTCCTTGGTTAACTCTGCGTCCACCCAGTCATCGTCGTAAATGGTTTCGGAAGACGATCGAATATATTCCTTAGACTCGCGGTTTGCTAGTACTTGGATATACAAAGATTCGGATACTTCGCTTCCTGTTCCTCCCATGGTACTGGGAATCGACAAGCTGGGCACCCACTCCTGGTCTTCGTTGCGGGCTGTTTTGAAATCAACAATGATATTACCCTTTATATAGTCGGTCCGTCTGTTAAAGCTTCCCGGGCAGGATGCGCCATCCATGTGGCATGTTAGGGTGGACCCCGAATAGAAACGATGTTGTGGGGTAGCGAAGGTAGCAAAGAGCTCGCCTTGCTTCAATAACTTATCGCGCAGCGCTGGGTAGCCGCCCACAAACTGAGTCGGGACTATGCCCAAAGACCGAATTGGGCGCTCTCCACTGAAATGAGGAAGATGAAAGTCTCGTGAAAGCACGCCGAATTGCTCTCCATCGTATCCAATTTTATAAAGTCGGATGATGAAAGGGTTAACCCGCCCGGGGTAGCTTGAGTCCAGGACTGGTCGTCCCTCAGAAACCTGCAACACTTTCCATATACTTGGACGATTGGTTGGCTGGACATGTGGTGCACTTTGCTCCGGAGTGAACCAACAAACCACCTGCATACCTGGGTGAAATAGATACCATAGATTGCTAAAAGAGATTGTTGGGTCAATAGTCGATGGGCTTGGAGTGAAGTTTTTCAGTAGAGCACGATGGCGGCTTATTACCGGACTGAGATGACGATCCATGAAACTGACAAGGCAGTCGAGCGCACGAAAGGCCTGACGAGAATCAATTGGCTCTTTGCCTGGTTCTAGAGGTGTAGGATCATCGAGCTCCTCATGGCCACTCTCTATTTTCCATTAAGCAGCGAGCTGTCGATGCCGCTCGCGGATCTCCTCGTCGTATCCGACGAGTACTTTGTATGGGCGTAAGATGACAAATGGGGCAGACTGGTCAATCTTGGAAACAATATCCTTCAAAATGGATGCCAAAAGACTGGAGTTGATTCGAATACGCTCGGGGAGATCATCTTCGGCGCCGCCAGTATCTGTTTTGGGCTTTGGATCTCCTTCTGGTTTCATTTCGTTCTCCTCAGCCCTTATCAGAGCAAGGATTCCAAAGCGGCGGATGCTTCTCTCGGTTTGCTGCCAGCAGTATTGCGCAGGGCCTTCCAAGACATCGATGACATGACGTTTTTCCTCGGCATACATCGTCTTGAATTCGTTCCATTTCACGTAACGGAGATCCATTATAACATCATCAGAATCCTCACATGGGTAATGCCTGGACTCTTCGTCTTCCGTATCGATGGAGGCAGAGCCATCACGGCTGTGATTGTCATCTTTATCTTTTGCAGCTTGCTCGGGAATCTTAGCATGGTTTTCTTCGAGACTTTGTATTCTAGCGCGAAGATCCTGCAACTCTTTCAACAACTCCAGAGAGGCGTCCTGGTTCAATAGCTTCGTAGGAGTATCGACCGGGATCTCCACTACCGGCTCTTCAGTGATGGTCGCCATGCTGGGATGATATCTTCAAGTGTAAATCAGATCGACTGGCGAACGTTTACGAGAGGCAAAGACACCACATTGAAGGGCCAAAGACCATGATTCGTGTACCGGTTTTCTGGGTGTGGCTTTATATGCTTGTAGGCTCAGCACATCTCCATTGAGGCATTTGAGAGACGTGCGCTCTAGCTAGGAAAGACATAGAACTGCACATGTAACCCACGACGAAGCTGATTGTGGTTCGGACCCCCGGAAATGTAATCTGGCAAATGAGAAGCTGAGGATTGTGGTCAATACGAACTATCCCTGTCTAGAGTCGGAGTCTCGGGCTACCGTGCATGAACTACATGGCGAGACCGTGTCCAATATGCAACACTCGTTCAGCTTCGTGGGATGGCGTTCTTTATGTGCCATCATTGCATGAGACAAACAGTATCCAACCACTCCTAATTCAGAGGAGCTGAAAGTGGCTGGCTGAACAGCCTGGAGAATAGCATCTGGCACGAGTAACAACGTGAGAAATCCTGCAAGTGCACGGGTTCCCCGCCTGTAAACCCGCATGGAAGGAGCCATCTGCACGTCAGCGTATCTATAGCAGTAGGGAATGCTGTCATACTTCTCCGCGGGCTGGACTATGCTTGCTAGTCAGTTTGACTTTCTCGTACCAGGAAGTCCGTGGATACGTAAAGACCTATCCCCTCAAATGGTGGTAAAGGCTGAAATTGTCAGGCCAAAAGCCTCATTTATGGCATCCCTTCTACATTTATGGCATCCCTTCTACGTGGTTGTCGGCGCGAGAACCACGAGCGCGGAATTCACCCACCTATAGGCCAGCAGGGTAGTGATTCGACGGCAACTGTCTTTGTGGCTGAACTATGCGTGCTAGCCAAGCTGGCCCGATCACGCGGAGGTCCTATAGACGTAAGACGAATGAGGCCCACATATCTATCATGGTGAGCCAGATAACGAAGGCAATAGTAGCTCTGAGGATGGCAGTAAGAACGATCATAATCGCAAGCAGAAATGGAGTCATCTTTGATGCCTAGAATGAGTCCGGAGCAAGAAACCCACATGACAAAAAGCTGGCTTAGAGGACATGGCCATCGACTCCGGTTGCCGCTTTCCCACAAGACCCAGCCACAACCATCAGCCCCGATCGAACCCGCAGACACCCAGCAAGATCTTAAGGAAGAGTGAGGCGATGTGATGCTCCTGTCTCACTATGTTCTGACCCTTTTATTTTAGTGTCGACGAGGTAGATGAGTTTTGCCAAGTCATCCAATGCTATTCAAACGAGACAAAGAGTAGTAGCGAGCCCAACGGTGGCCATGGAAGCGCAAGGTTCGATATATACGGCGCGCACAGCTGGAAAGAGGTGGTTAGTATCGTCCAAGCGGTCGAGAAAGACTACAATCACAGCGCCACTGGCTGGAAGGGGGCTGCGAGATGGGCCTTTCGCAAACTCGGTGAGCATGCAGAGGACTTCAACCCTTGGTTGGACCTTTTGCCGGATGACAAGTATTTTAGCATTGCTTGTGGTGGGCTCAAGATAATACTTGGTGTTAGTACGCTCTGTCCCTGGCTTCATGCATACTGATCGATGTAGATGGCAGCGCGAAGAAGCGAACAGCGGGAGGTTATTCTTGCATTCTTTGCTGAAATTCCAGAAATTATCTTCTGGACCGATCGCTACCATTCTCTTTTCCAGGACGAGGAGGGATTGAAGTCCTACCTGTACGAGTTCTATCTCGCTCTCCTGGCCAGAATCCAGGGAATGATTGCAGCATTGGTGGGTGTATCACTGTGTAGGTGTCGTCGGCTTTTAGCTGCAGCAGAGATGACACACATCCAGTCCTGTACTAACATGCATCTTTGTCTCAGGGAGAAAGATTATTTCAGGTCTGAGTGTGAAGAATGCAGACAAATCGCTTGGATATGTCAACCAACGCTTCTCGCGGGCCAGAACCCAGCTCGACAGACATCTCCAATTCGTGCGCGATCGGCTGCAAGTGGATACAAACCAACGAGTCGTTTATATAAAGCCGATCGTGGACGATCTGGCAACAGGGTAGAAAAAAGTGATTCAGCAAAATTCAGATCTGCGAAATGACATGCGCGAGAGCATAAGTCGACTGGAAAAGCGGTTGAAACCATGGGGCATTGTCGCGGAGCAGATGGAGCAGGTCCTTCAAAATGAGTTGCAGAAAGCGCAGTGTAGGTCCTTACTGCTGTTTCTATTTAACTCAGACAATGACCTTGCACTTCAGGGCGAATTAACCGGGAGAACATACAACGAGAGAATCGGCAGTGGCAGATTATGCGCCAAGGGTATCCCAGAAGCGACCTCTACTTCTTCCTTCGCTTGGATGAGCAGGACGTGCGGCAGCAGCTTATCCAAGACCTCGATGATACAGGTCGTGATGGGCAAGATATTGATATGGCTGCTCAAACCCACGCTCAACAACTTCTCCGTATGCCACAATTTCAAAGTTGGATCCGGTCTGACCAGCCAGACATGCTCCACGTCGACGGAAACTGTGACAACTATGCTATGGCGAGATGTTCTCCATTCAGTCTCCTTTGTTGCGTGCTTGCCAATGAGCTACTACAGCAACCGCAAGCCCAGGTTCTATTCTTCTTCTGTGGACTGCACAACCTGGCTGGGGAGCCCATGGCAGGGCCGGTAGGTCTTGTCAAATCGCTCATCATACAAATGCTCCTGGATAGGGACGACAAATATGATCTCCTTTTCCTGACCATTGGGCGGAGAGAAGAAGCGTTGTATCAAAATGATCTTCCCTCTCTGTGTGAGACATTTAGGGAAATGCTGGTCCAAAAACCCTCCGCCGCTCTATTCTGCATCATCGACGGTGCATCGCTCTTCGAGGTGCGAGAATGGCATGAAGAGATGGAGTATGTTGTTCAGCAGTTGTTCAACCTAACGACTGATCCGGACATTGCAACGGTGTTCAAGGTACTTATTACGAGCCCGGGTATTAGCCGACTCGCAAGTGGTGTTCCCCAAGAATGTCGCTTGTATGTGCCAGAAACCAACGAGAGAATCTCGGATGCAGGCTTCCGGAGCCTAGAGGCATTTCAAGACGAAGTTTATCGCCGTCGAGAAGACTTGGCAGATACTGCAGGGAAATATGAGGTCAACCCATATGAGGCAATGTACAAGGTGGACATGTACAGTGAGGAATATGAGTAGAGAGTGAGCAGCACTATTAAGAAGTATGATCGATCATGGTGATGAATTAAGATAGCGACAATTCTTTCGACGAATCTAAGTTGTAGAGTTGAAAGATTTATTACAGTTGCAATAATAGTACTAACGCAGTTCTCCATCCTATCATGTTGCTCTTTGATATTCTATGTCCACACAATATTGATGAATACGTAATGTAAAGTGCCTTCGAGCCCATTTTCATCATCTCTTGCCACCACTGAATCCTTACTAGCACATAAGCAAATATACCACTCGCTCACCTCATCTACCTGGCTATATTTACCCTCAATATAGCTACTTACATCCTAAACCAAAAAGACAACAAACATAACAAAACCAACCCAGTAAAAAACACAACACACCGACCCAACATACCAGCAAATACTCCGTACAACCCTACGTAAATAACAAACGTAGGCTGCCTAATAACCCGCCAAGAAGGCAACTACACATACATGCATGCACAAAAGGAATGAGTCAGAAAGAAGCAAAATCAAACCCAGCCCACTGGCACATCTTTTTTTTTTTTTTTTATTTCTTTTTCTTACAAGGATGAACTCCTATTCGGTTCCGGCCTGTTGGGTCGCCATACATGAAAAAGAAATGTCCACATTGATCATCTGAGTTTTTGCTTTCTTTGTTTTGTTTTTGTTTTTGCTTTTGTTCAAAGTTTGGTGGCTCGGGTCGGTGAATACATAGGAGTACTTAACAAGTAACTTTGATGGTTGGGAGTATCTGTGGGTTCGGTCTTGGTTACTTTCATGGGAGGAGTGCGTTGAGTGGCTTTTTCTTTTGTTTTGTCGTCAGTCTTATATTATGTTTATTATATGTTTCTGTGGCGGGTTATGTGGTCATACTACTCTGTATAAATGGCATGATAAGAGCTAAGAATGAAGTACTCTCCGCTGTATGTATTAGCTAACCATGAGAAAATAAAAAAAAATCAATCCAACAAATTCGAATCCCGTGTACTCCGTATCAACAGAGTTTACCAGGATCCCTCATCCCAAGTAACCCTGACCCGACATGCCAAGAAAATGATCAATCATGCAATGCATGGATTACCCTGTTTCTGGTGGATGGCAATCAGTCAGTTGGCAAATCGCCAGATACTTCCGGTAGGCAGAGTGGCTGCAAGAGAACCCTTCCATCGGAGCGGTGACGATTCTCTCAAGCAAGCAACTGGTGGTTATGCGAGGGTAAGCGGAGAAAAAGTAAACATGATGGCTGAGGATGACGCAAGTGGGCGGACGAACGCGGTTATATACATGGCAAGGCTTTATTTGGGATGAGTGTAAATTATTGAAAGATCGGGAATCTGTCATTGTTTTGTATGTCTTTAATGTGTTCCTTTTCTACTTCCTACTTCATTGTGCTGTATACAATCTTCATGTTAGGAAGTGGCTCTCTTCGGATTTCTCGTCAAATTTATTCAAATTAAAATATTCTTGAGCACTGTAAATATGTACTAAACTACATTACAGCAAGTAGCATATGATGAAAGGAAAGGGTCAAAGGAATAAGGATATCGTCCAAGATACTCAGTAGATAATCCGCAATTCTCCGGCGGGTCGTCGACGGACCGGACCGTTTGGGTGGCCCATGGTAACTGCACCGTATTTCCATGTATCCCTCAAGGTATGATACAGTGGCAGTTTCATAAAAGTACGTATACAGATAAGGCATGCCATGATCATCACCAGGATGACGCTTCTCGACTCGGAAGATCGGCCAATTTGAAAGAAGCAAGAATTATTTAGCCCCCTTGATCGACGTAAAGGGCTAGTTTCTCACCACCTTCCTGGTTACAAAATTGTCATCATCATGATGATAAAGTAATGTTACACAAGATTATCAGAAATCCTTCCGTAAGTATACACCGGATTTTGTCAGGGAAATATACACCTGACACTCACTCCGTCCCCTCTTCGTGTCGACAATATCTTTTTTTGGTTGCTTTACCAAAAGATGCGACATGTTTCGTTAAGAGGTAAGGTCATGAAGCCTTGAAGTGATTCAGTCTACTACCAATCACATAGATTCAATTTGCTCGGAACATAAATGAAACACTTTTTGAAGTTTATTCCTAGACACAGACTTCCAGGCTGTCTGCTAGCTGTCATCGAAAGAGGAGCTTTGCACATCACACCTCGCGTTCTTCAGGCTATTGCACAGCCTTTCAACAAAATATATAGTGTTCATCAAGTCATTGCACAGCTTGTCAGCATACTGATTCTCCTCTCTTTGAAACCATACATATTGCACATCTCCCTTCTCCTTGAGCCGGCTATCGAGAACCACTACATACGTCGAGTCGGAGTATATCGTGACATCCAGCCGAGGATCCGAAATCAGTTGCTGAGACCTCTTCAAGGCCATCCCTAGACCGAGGATAATGGATGGTATAGTTACAATTTTCAGAGTCTTGCCTAGATATTCCATGAGACCTTAGCAAGTTGGTGCTTCACGTGTTTGGATTGGCCGTTCCCGGCAGTTTCCCTGTGCCCGCGATGCGTGTTTAACTATTACCTCTATCATTTCTCTGTTGTTTCTGATCAACGCTATTGGCAAGTCCCAGGAAAGGCATGCTGGTAGATAGTTTTGATGCATCTGAGAAAATTATATAGTTGTCAAACCAAACTATACTGTGATTGAGACAGTTTCATGCTGTCGAGCTACATATTAACTAGATAAGAAGTAAGAAACAAATACCTCAGTGAGTAACCAGTAGTATGATAATATACAATACCATTTCCAGCTATCACACTCTCATTACTTTCCTACCATATTAATTCTCCTTAGCGGGAATGACTCTAGTACTAAGTAGTCAGACCTAACAAAAACTATCATAGCCATCTCGACTCGAGACATGCACATTCCCCCCTCATAAACACTGTAATTACCCCATCCCAGTCTCTACATCCACCTATTACCCACATCTACAATTACCCTCCTCAACCCCACAAATGATCATCCGATAACCCACCACCCCAGAACAGGAAACACCCCCTCCGTGGACTGAGCCAGAGCATTCCATTCCATTACATCCGATCCCGAGTACCATTCGTAGTAGACTAACACTTCGGTTACGTGGATGAAGTGGATCCCCGGGCCCGGTAGTCAAGGTATTACCAGATAAGGATAGGCACATTACCTACTAGTAGGTAGATACGGGTCGGGGTAGAGCAGTTAATGGGTACGTACGTACCTTTGTACTTAGGACTTAGGCGGGAGTCCGTGCTACTCTACCTCTAACTACCTCTGAGTACTAAGTACTTTAGGGTATCAGCCATAGCGTAGATCGCCAAATAATAATAACGCTAGAGGAACATTCTGTCTCCTCTTCAAAGCCTCAAACGAGTCATGAGATGACATGTTAATATCGGGGAAGAAAGGGAGAATAGGGAAAGAGAATGGGGAGTGGGAGTGGAGGGAAGATCAGCATTGGGGATTTATCCTGTTCGGGGTAAGCGTAACGGCTGGTAGTCTGTTAACTTTGTGAGGAAATAGGATGTACAGTCCAAGGGTGGGTGGGGGGGAAGGGGAAGGATATGACAGCTGGATCGTGATTGATTTGGAGTTTTGGGGTTACCTGGTACTTATCTACTACCTAAGTAGTACTTAGGGGGAATGAAAGAGTGCATAGCAATACCATTTTGTAAAAGAATTGAGTACTAACTAGTATAATCTATGAATTATGCTCTACACCATACATTTATTCAAATAATGTAACAAAAAAAAAAAAAAAAAATCAATCCCTACTTAATTTGGGTATACACATTTCCATACAACCGCTCTTTCCTCAAACTAGTTTGGTACTTTGCACGTATGCCCACTGCTAAGTATAATAATAAAACCCGGAATATAACCTACAGACCAGACCAGCACAATGGCCGAAAGAGTAAATACTCTGCTGCTTGATGCTGCTGGTGGCACAACACCCCCTCCCTCACTCACACCACACCAGGCCACGCCAACAACCTAACCCAACCCAACGGGTCCCTCAATTCCATCAACTTTGGACTCAATCCACCCCCGGTAACTTAACATACCGTCTTATGCATCGGCATTCCGCATTGGGTCCTTGGCACAGCGAGACTACCGTCTACCTGCGTATTTATGTGGGGAATTAAAGTAGACCCTATTCCTGGTTCAATATGATGAATAGTATCCTACCTAAAGAGAAGAAGTACCTATACACATATATTTCTTTTGTCTTGTGGTAAGATAAGGAAGTTACACAGTATTTATCTATCTACCCATCTACAGAGGTGAGGAGTAAGTGAGTGAGTGAGTGAGTGAGTGAGTGTCAAGACCCACTTCCTTCCATCCTTCCTACTATGTATGTACACTGTACACTGTACACAACTGTAGAATAGCTGAAATTTCCATCCTCACATTAATTAACAAAATGAATAAATCTTCATAATATAAGCACTATAACCCCTCCCCTCCAACAACCTACCTAGTACCTAAGTACTACTAGCACCACACTACTACTACCATCCCACCAAACGTCTATGAAGGATCCGTGCATGAACATGAACATGAACATCCGTCATCCGGCCGAATCCTCCCTTCTTACGGGATTTGGTCGGCGTTTGCAATTCGACACCCCAAAAAAAATCTACTCCGTATCTGCGCGAGTCAGGGGTAACACATCGCCAACCTCATTGGCAGTACGTACGTATCGAATAATTTATTTTAGTACGTAGGGGCTATTTAAATTTTTTAATTTATCGGGTTTCCGGTTTTCTGGGACCGGGAAATTGGATCAACTTGATGAAGTATTAGGTTAGTAGATAGTAGATACTAGACACACCGCGTGAGGATGTGATGTGGGCAGTCTCTGCATCCATCCATCAGTCCTCATGCACAGTGCTCGGAAGAGGATAACCAAGTCACCGGGGAGTTGGACAGGGAAAAGTACTTCCTGCCCAATGGACAGTTAATGTCAAGCCAAGAGAGCTTTGCTGTCACACACACACACTCCCTCTCTTCTTACTTTAGGAGAATTTACCCCGTGCATCATGCGATGTGCAGTCAACTTGCCGGATGAGAAGAAGAAAGACAAAGCCAAAGCGCCGGGAACCGGGCCCGGCCAACATCATTCTTGCGGGGCAGTGGAGCTAGCTGGGTACTCCCTGGAATGATTCAGGAGGCCAAGCTGATGTTTGCTCGATCCCACGCCAGCCATCATTCTCATCGGGGGGTCTGGATCCCTCGGCCTAAGGCCAGGGTACGGAGTATACCGTTACTGCTGCTGGTTATTGGTTGATAACGGCCATTTAACATACGCAGCGGGGCGTACCGATTCCCACCCTGCCATTTAAGTTGGGACCACAAGTGGCTCCGGTTGACCCGTGGCTTTGGCCTTTCCCGACCAGCTGGCTGACTAGTGGCTCCTGCTCAGCTTAGTTTGCAGGGCATTGTGCCACCGTTCAGCTGGTTCGCCACGGCGTCCAAACTAAGCGTAGAAATCGTTACACAACAGGGAGGAACCAGGAAAGAATCAGGTGCCACAGAGTAACATCAGGATTCAAACAATGCTAGGTCCGCCAACCATCGTTGCATCTCAGTGCCTTGTGGCACTCGAGCTGCAAAGGTAAAGCTTGCTGGACTGCTATTCTTGTCGTAGGGAGCGCGAGCACGTAAGTGAACAGACGCAGCTTGGCAGCCGGTGCAAGTCCTGACCTGCCATTTGCGCTGCAAAACGAAGTAGATTGATTGTATACCAGCCAACTATCTACCCAGTACTGATCCTGACCTTTGCCAATCGCTCTTCAACCCGTCGAACAATCTCGGGGTCTGGTTTCGGTTTGTCTCGGCGGGGTCTGTGATGTATTAGTAACTGCGTGGGCCACCTTAGCAGATGTATGACTTACGGATCTCGTATTGTTTCAGGTCCCTTCTCTTGCCCGCAACCGGAGCAATTTCTCTCTCCCGATCGGTACAATGTCGAACACTTGTGGCATGTATAGCGTACGCGCTGCCGCGCCTTCTTCCACGTCCGTGCAGGAGGTTCTGCGGGAGCATCGACATCTCCAGGATAGCCATGCGGGTATTTGCCGAGTTTAGGTCTGAGTTCATTAGCACAGACGCCTTCATCAAATGCAATTGATCTGGGGTGGACGCACGGGTCGCGAGGGCACATTGTGCACCGAATATGCTGGCAAGTACTGCATTCCGTAGCATCCGAAGCGAACACAGTGCTACACTGATGACAAGTACGGCGGACTCGTTGTCGGGTCGGGTGGTGGATGACATCCTGGCCGCCGGTGCGCGAAGGCAGCGTAAGAGGAGGTTGCTTGGGTTTATGCTGCACAGGGACAGTTTTGTGCAGTTTCTGCGCGACAATGGCCTGGAGTGCAGCTTGGGTGTCGTCCCGGTGGTCGTTGGTCTTGGTGGAGGGGTGGTGAGGGCAGCTCTTGCAGCGGACGTGCTGGCAGTTGACACAAACTTTGTTCGGGCCAAAGGTGGTCTGGCAGCGATGGCAGGTACGGCGCACTCGCATCCGGATAGGTCTGACAACACGCTGGACGGTCGTATCGCTAGGGGACCTCCATTCTCCAGGCTCCAGGGTCAATCCGTATTTCGCAAATAGAGCCCGCGCCTTCTCTTCTTGAATGGCGCCCCAGTTGGTGAAAACGGTCGCATCGGGTGTAGCTTTGACGGTAGGAGCCTGCGGGATACGTTGGGGGCTGTAACGCAAGTCAGTGCCACAAAGTAACTAGAATTACTCGGCGATGAACATACGCGGGAGCTTGGCTTGGCTCAGGCTCTCTTGATTTCTGCATGACGGGGGAGGTGGTCCGGACAGTCGAGCTCCTCCTCAAAGCCATCTTCATGCGCTTAACATATTTTGACAAGCCATCATTCTTGCCTTCATTAGAAGGGGTGGGATCCTGTTGAGTCGACATTTCTCCGGTAATATAGTCGAGCTTTATCATTCCTTGCTGGTCGTATTTAAATCAAATCATGTGTAGCGTCGCACGACATCGACAAGGCGGGTGACTGTTTTGGCGGTGTCGGAAAAGGTCGAATAGTGTAAAGACACTTTTGGGGTGGGCGCTATTAATTCATACCAGCTGGAATCGGAAGGGATGATGTTGAGTAATTATGGCGGTGATGGTGGAATTCTGGGAAGCAAAAGCGCCGAAGAGCGACTACCCAGATTGGGGGGGTAACGACAAAGTGGGTGGAATAAGGTGGGAAACGAGGGAGCCACCGGTTAAGTATGGCAGGTCGCACGGGCGTGTACCGTAACCGTAGGCTTGGGACAACCCGACAAGACGGTGAGATGGGTGAGAAAACCCAACAGGAAGGGTCGCAGGGAATTGGAACAGCCTGGGGGCAAATCCAACTAATGATTGGCTGAAGGGCGGTCAGATCCTGTGGACCGGGTGTGGATGAGATGTCCGATGTAAAGTATAAGGTGTGTAAAGTATGTAGGGGAAAGGGAGGTGACGTTGTGAAAGGATAGGTTGCAGTGGTTGCAGTGGTGGTGGTGGTGGTGAATTGCACGCTGGGAGCGGAACAAAAGTCACCGGCCAAGATGGTGGAAAACTGAAGATTCACGACTGACTGACTGACGGGGAGGAGAGGAAGATAAAAAGAAGGCAACGACCAGCGCGAGCCGAACGTCAAATAGAAGCCGAACAGACTTTCTGGGGGAACCGGACGAGCGAGAGGGGGGTGGGTAAGGAAGTTGTATGTAAAGTAACAGTCAGTAAGTAAAAGTAAGAGTGGCAGGCGCCTAAAGTAGTAACAAAGTATGGCACATGGCTTCTCACCCGATCCTCTTTTCTATACCGTTGTGGTTATTTTCAGTTCCTTTTAATTTTCCTATCCTCTCTTTAATTTTTATTCTCTTATTTTATATTGATTTTCCATTCTTCTCCCATACCTGCATTGAGATGTACCTTCTAGATTCACCTCTGCTTTATTAAGGACACCAACGGACCAAACATTGACATGAACCGGAGCCTCTACTAACAAAGTCAAAACTGTGGATTTAATTCCCCCTACCCATTTATAGCCAACCAGTCTATTCTCACTAGGAAGACTCCATACCCAGCTACTATCGAGAAACAACTGCCTGTTTCTCCGTGAAGAAAACCAACGATCAATTACCATGGCAGGAAGCAGCACGATCCGAGCGGGAAACAAAGGAAGTAAAGTAAAGAAGTAGCAGAAACGCTAGAATCAAGAATCAAGACCGATTAGGCAAAGCCGTGCGTCTCTGTTTTGCCGATAGGCCAATCTGGTCAGGAGCTGGTTGGTTGATATACGCCTCTACATCCTCATGCAGCATGATGACCAGCAACTAGCGGGCGAACCGATGCGACGGGGCGCTTTGGGGGGAGGGAAGATGGAGTCTAATGCCGTGGCACCCTACCCACTCTGGAACAATGCCCGAACCCACCGCGTCTCGCCCGCGGGTCTGAAGAAGGTCGCGCCGGAAGATGTGTTGTTGTTCTGTATTTTGCTGATCCGGAAATACTATCGGATTCTTACTACTACTGAGAATGTGAGTAATTTACAACAGACAGGAATGAACATGAACATGACATCCTTTCATATCCGCGTGGTCGGAATCGGATGTTGCTGCTGCTGCCGCTGAGGATGATGTCAGCTGGAAAAAGTGAGCGGTTACCAAACAGAACTACCGCGTATTTTCCGGGATATGCCTCAGACAACCAAAGCCCGTGTATTTTACAGTTCGTCACACACCCCAACAGCCACGAAGCTGCATGAAGACGATAGTGATGGGAATAATAGCAACGCTCTAGGTACAGAGTACATGAGGGTCAGTTATCAACGGCCCAAGGCTACCAGAAACGTTTCTGTGCATGGACTCGAGAGGATGACAAGTGACTTTGAGCAAATAGAGAAAGAAGCCTTACGTAGATGGCGGTGCCGCTGCTGCAGACAACATGATGAAATGGAACATTGGGGGATGCTTTCCCTTCAAATTCACGCCAGGATAGCGATGCGCCGTTCAATCAGGAAGCCCCATGGAGGATGGAACTGCCTCCTGAGCTGAGACTCAACTCACTTCGACCGAAGATCCGGCCGAAGGATAGAAAAAGACTACTAAAAGAGCGAAACCTACCAATTTATATTATATTAACTGTACCCGGGAACCGATTCCTAGTGAGAACTCAAAGGAATTGCAGTGTCATCATAGTGTCTGATCTCGACTGGGTGTTCTTTCTTCATAACCGACTTTCCCAGATTATCCAACAATTCATGCATAAATCAGGTGTGACAAGACTGCGGACATTCCCCTAGGAAGGAAAAAATAAGGGACCAACTTACAATTTTCCTATTTTCTGGTTACTTTTTCACTACAAGATAAAACTCAATATTGTAGACATCTCTAACTATCTAACTTACCTCAATCACAACGAACTAACCCTCAAAGTAACTATAGGCTAAGTACTGAAGTACTACCCGCCCGGAAATTCTAGACTCCCTGACCAACAACTCATCACACAACGCTGAAACCATAGTACATACATACATCTTCATACCGAGGTATCCCGACAGATTGGTCTAGTTACTCTGTGTAAATACAACATTCCATCGCATCCCATTTATACAGCTAGTCCATGCATTGCATAATGCATGACACCACACACCACACCACACCACGATTCCTACCCTACCAAAGAGGGAAAAAAAAAGAAAAAGAAAATTAATTAGAAACGGCAACGGCTTTATGCAGCCTGTCTTGTTCTGCTGCAGTGTAGGCGCCAACTCAACACGCTAGATAAATACTTACCTGCCTATTCATTACTGACCCTGTAAGCAAGTATGTATGTACGTATGAAATGTGTATGTATGTACGTACGTATCTAAGCGGAAAAAGTAGTAGCGCGAAAGTATAGGAATTTGTCAGTAGTGAAGAGAGAAAAAAAAAAAAAACATGAAGCAACGGAAGAACTTTAACTTGCAGTGAGCGCCTGACGGAGTAGATCGGAGAAATATGAACCTACCGGATTGCGTTGGAGGGTTAGGTTGGATTTTTGCTCCAGTGGTTTGTTACATACTTTGAGTTGAAGGGTTGGTGTTGTATGGGTAAACGAATAAGGATTGTCTTTGTTGTTGTGGACACATGTTTTGATAGTTGATGATGATGATGATGATGATGATGATGATGATGATGATGATGGTGGTGGTGGTGGTGGTGGTGTTGTTATGCTTATTGTTGGAACCGTGGTTCTGCTTTTTCATTGCTCCTTGCTTTTGAGGGAGCTTTTGTTGTAGATTCGGGAAAGCCGACCGGGGAGGTATTTAGACAGTAGATAGGTTAGAAAGATAGCCAACCGTCAAATTACTATTTACTACAAAGTACATAAGTAGATATATACATACTACTCACTCCTCTATTGACTATTCAGCATCGTACCGAATATCCGGAAATCAAACAAATAAAAGATGGGCCCCGGGTGCCAAACACCCGGGTACACTGGACTCGATCCATCAGACATCAATCAGCACTTCACTTCACAGCCAGCCAGCCAACTACCTTACTTAGTAACCCGTAATCTGCAGGGCTGAATAATTAATTAATATAACTACAACAAAAAGAAAAAGAAGTAATCATGTTGAATACCACACCACACCACACCACACCACACCACAACCCCTCAGTAATCAATCAATCAATCAATCAATCAGTAAGCTTCAAACACAGCTGACCGACCACCGATCTCCGTCTGGGTCAGAAAAAGAGAGGGGGAAGGGGATTGAAGGGGACCTAGGGGACTTGAAGGGGGTAGGAAAGGGGAAGAGCATGGGCCCAATCATATCTCAGTTTTTCTATGTATGGCCGGGATATCCAGTCCCAGTGCCGCGGAGAGCACCGAACACACTGAACCTTCAACCTAAAAGAATGCCCGTCGAGGGGGGTGGATGCCAGCCAGGCTGTCAGAACTCCTGCCTTTAGTGGAATGGTGAGATGTTGGTGTAGTGGAGATTCACTGGGTGTGTGGGGTCCGGGTATGGAGCTAGTATTGATGGTGTTATTTATGTATCTGTGTATGTATGTTGGTTTCGTTTTACGAGGTACGTAGCTACTTATGTACTAAGTAGTAGTTAGCTTGTATGGAGGAGGCTTGATTGGGATCATTGGAGGATTTAGCAGACGTATGGAAGGTTCTATGGCTTCGATCGATTGATTAATTGATCGTTGAGTCTTAGGTAAGTAGAGATACATTGTATTAGTTAAGTACACCTTGATCATATGTCTATGTTACAGTGCATGCAATTATCATTTCTACTGGTGGTATCTGCTTGCTACCTTGGTCTCATTCAAACCGGAAAAGATATCCCAATAATATGTTGAACCTCACTTCCACCTCACCTTATGAGTGAATATAGGATGAGATATTTCCTTCATCCAACCAAGACACACGTTCGATTCAAACAGCACCCTATCCTTACTACTCGTAGGCAACATACCCAACCACTATATACACCCTTCCCTCGACATCACCACCATCATCGCCAATCATCAACTGATATAAAGATCAAGTAATAACAACATCTACTCTACCACAAAACAACCCCATACACTACAGTAGGTACTAACACAGACATTCCCTAAGTAACAATAAAAAAAAAAAAAAAAAAAAAAGGCAGATAGATAGCCCCAACAAAACAAAACAAGAATACAAAGAAAACAAAAAACAAGGTTCAAGGCGCATATTTGCCCGAGTGGATCCCTCATCCAACCCAACCCAACCAGTTGGTACATTTAAGCTACTAACTTACTCCCAGGATAGAACATGTCAAAACAGTCAACTCTGGAAAAGAATTCCGTGATTTACTTCTTATCTAAGTAGGTGGTTTTTTACACCATGTGTGCGTATATCATGGTGAGGCGATTTCATCGATAGTCATGTAAGGGATTATAAGAGTAGGTAATGACAAATCTTGTCGGGGGAATTTGTGATTGCTTATGAATCGTTTTGGGGTTTGTTTTGGGTAAGTAGGTATGCTTTATGCCTCGGTTTGGTTCGTAACAAGTACTGTGGTGTAGTGTTTAGTGGTTCGTGGGAAGACTTCTCAGCTCTTATTGAGGTATCCGAATCTAACTTGATCATGTATACAATGCCAGCACTATAATTATAATGTAAACGCATAGGCGTCATGAAGGACCAATATAAAGGCCTCAGACCCTACCAGACAATAGTAAATATGCCTAATCCGCGCTTTGCAGCTTCGACTCGATCGAGATAATGTCATCCTCTTCATATACCTCAATCACCCGGTTAACCTCCGCCGTATTGCGCATCAACTCGACAGCGCCCGCATACATCATGCGCTGATTCGGGTTACAGTTCTCGGGGAGGTAATAGAGCATGACGTAAGGAACCGTAGGACGGCCGGAAGCCTGATGCCAGAATCATACGTTAGGTCTGTTTCACATGTCTAGGTGACAGAAGTAGAATACTCACCAAGGTCAAGGGATAGCTGAGGAGGATAAACCGAGGAGACGATTCCGGAAGCTCATCGGCTACATCCTCCATCTTGGAGTAAACCTCGCCATCTTCAGGTCGAATCTCCTGGGTCTTGTTGTCGATGATATCTGTCAACCTGTTGTCAACCACGCATTGTCCTATGATATCCGACGTGAGGCGAACAAGTTCGCGCGACAGCTGTAACGGTTGTGCTCGTGATAGGCAGAGGATAGAAAGCGGGGCTATGGAGGGACGACAGGAGACGGGATCCTACAAATAATGGCCTGCGGATCCTTGGCGCGGGAGGTTCCCAAGCGGAACTTGCGAAGTTTTTCTTTGGTCTCGGGAGAGAAGGAGTATAGTCGTGATTCAGACTGCATGGAGAGTAGCTCAGGTTAGCAGGGGGGAGGAAGCGGGCACGCGATGCGGGGCAGTCCAACCACTTACCATGTTGTGAATGGGTGATGCGACAGTAAGGCGGAAGCAGAAACAGGATATTCGGAAGTGCGCTAGAAGCAAGAGGAGTAAAAATCGGTAAACCCCCAGACGGGATGTGAGCGGGGATGGACGGGGGAGCTATCTGGTTGGGGATGAGTTTGACCGAAGAGACGTAAAGGAGGAACAAGCAAGTGGTGGTTGCTCCGCGTTTTCGGCCCGGTGGGATGAAAGGCGCGGCACTTCTCCACCTCCTCCTCGCTCTCCTTGTCTTTCCATTCAATAATTCTCCTCCCCGCCCGCGCTTGTTTGTTACTCCGCCATTCCTCTCCTCCTCCCTTCTCCCTCATGTTCAGTCGTCTCGGTCAAGTTGCCCGCCATCTCACTCGACCGTCTCTCAACCTCTCTTCCACGCCTACCTTCACCTCGCCCTCTTTGACCCCGCCCCTGCTTCGTACACCATCCCCCAAAATGACATCATCCGTCCTCCCGAAGAACAAAAGAACCATTCACACGGCGGCATGCCTGATCATTGGTGACGAGGTTCTTGGTGGAAAGGTAAGAAGCGAATGAGCTGTCCGCTGTTCAGTTCTTTTCTATCTTCCCTTACGCATCGTGCATACCCACGTCCCTTGGCTTGGACTGACGATTTCCGAACTGCCAGACCATCGACACGAACTCCGCCTTCTTCGCCAAGTTCTGCTTCTCCCTCGGCATCCAACTGAAGCGTATCGAAGTGATTGCCGACGATGAGAGCGAAATCATTGAGGCAGTGCGACGTATGAGCGACCGCTATGACTTCGTCGTCACCAGTGGAGGCATTGGCCCAACGTCCGTACACCCCCCAACATCGACAAATAAAAACCCCCACGCGATATGAATACTGCATATGGCTTGAAAAGCTGACTGATATATGATGTGAATCGCAAAAGCCACGACGACATCACCTATGAATCGATAGCCAAGGCCTTTGGTCTGAACCTAAAGCTCCACCAAGCTGCCTTCGAGCGTATGAAGAAGCTCTCCAAGCCTCATCCCATGCAACCAAACTTCGACTGGGACACCCCGTCACCTAGTCTGACGGCAAAGCTGCGCATGGTTGAGATCCCTCACAACGAGTCTGTGCCTTTGGAGGAACAGGCCGTTTTCGTTGCGGATGATATGTGGGTGCCCATTGCTATCGTCAACGGCAACGTCCATATACTTCCTGGTGTTCCTCGTCTCTTCGAAAGGCTACTCGAGCACCTGAAGCCGAACTTGTTGCCTCGCTTGGTCAACCCGGAGGGAAAGGGCATCTATCGTTACCTGTTCAGCACACCACTCCCGGAGAGTACGGTCGCCCCTTACCTGACGGAACTTGCTACTCGTGTGGCTTCGAAGAACATCAAAGTTGGCAGTTACCCCCGGTGGGGTAATAAGCGCAACACTGTGACTCTGGTCGGCACTGACAAGGAGTTCATGGACTCGCTTATCGCAGAGGTGGAGCAGAATGTCGAGGGAACCAAGGTAACTCGAGAGGATGAGCTTGACCCTCCCTCGGACGCTGAGGAGGGCAAATAAGCGGAACGTTGGCGGTCATAGTATGCCTTTGCAAACAATAGTTGCTAGATTTGTAGACAATGACACGCTAATCCGAATATGTCATGATAGCACTGGGTGTATGGACGTTAGGATTCGTGAACCTGCGTAGGGGCGTTATCTTCGACAGTAGCGTCCATCCACATCTGCCATTAGGAACGCGTGCTGTTCAAACAACGTACCATTCACCACTCAGATGTTGTTGTTAAGGTTTGAAGACCAGCCACTAAATCTCCAAGACATCACTAAGTAACCCACTATAAGATACTAACCACAGAGGAAGTGAAGAATGAGAAGGCTTATTCTCGGAGACCAAAATTCCAGAATCAAATAAGATTACCCAATATTTCAAGTGTATACATGAAGGAAGAAAACCAGACAGACTAAGATAGAGATGCTTATGGCGCGCCGCTGCTGAGTGCAGAATAGGGGAAACAAAACCAGAGACCGACCAAAATGAAAGAGGGGAAGAGGGGAAGAAGGGGAAACGGGCAGAGACGTTAGGTGGCACAATGATATCGCAACGTCTAAACACCTGACAGACGGAAGTATCAACGTGCAGTTCATCTCGTCGAAAAGGGTTCAGCAGATGAGATCCCGCCCGACAAAGTGCAAAGTTGGTAAATGAAAGAAACGACCAAACGTATCCCGGATGCATATAGGAAAGAGATCAATGAAGATGAAAGTAAAGACGAATAGTAAAGATAATCAGCGGCTGCTGAATGTGCAAAAGATCTGAATTGCTCGTCCAGCGTGGCCGACAAGACGAAAAGGAAGGATGATTCTGCAGCTCCGGATGGTACCACAATGCGGACCGCGACAATAGCGTACCTATATTAATGCACAGATCTATTGACAGGCTCCGTTCTCGTCCTTTCAAAGATCGAGAAATCGTCAAAGAAAAATCAATCTTCCAAAAAAAGAGATAATAAGAATAAACAAAATAGAGGAACAAAGGGGGAATCGAACGTTCATGGAGACGATGGCGGCATTAGGGTGTGAGAGCAGACATCATCTGAGAGTGAGGCTCGTATGGTATAATGATCACAAAATCAAAAGGCGTTGACAAGCCACATGTTGCAGCAAGGCAAGTGGCCCGTCTCTGTTGCTGACCTCTCTTTTCCAACCGGGAGTGACTGTATGTGTTTTTGCTTTCCTTCCGTATCTCGACCTGTATGTATTTCTTTTAGATCCAACGCCTGTCCCATTACATAATTATACATTTTCCACAGCAGCCAGCGTCATCGCCAGGCTCGCTGACGTCCATTTTTCCTTCCGGGGCGCGTGAGCCGCCGCCCGCGCCAGACGGGTACGATGACATCTCTTTGTTGAACCGACGAATCTCGCGCACCAGGTCGTAGAAAGCGTTCTCAACGTTGATACGGGACTTGGCGGATGTCTCGATGAATTTGCAGCCGAACTGCCGTGCTAGAGCCTCACCCTCTGTAGAGATAGAATCGTCAGCCAAAACCTCCCGCGACAAAGCAGATGCTGGACCGGGAAACCCACCTTCTTCGGAAACAGCCCTCTCCTTTTCCAAATCGCACTTGTTGCCAACCACGATGATGGGGAAGTAGTCCTTATCCTTGACTCGCAGGATCTGTTGTTGGAAAGTCATAATTTCCTCGAATGATTGGCGCGACGTTATCGAGTATACGAGAAGGAAACCTTCGCCGGTTCGCATGTACTGTTCACGCATCGCCGAGTACTCTTCCTGTCCGGCAGTATCTAGGACGTCCAACAATGCCACCTCCTCGTCGATGACGCACTGCTTGCGGTAGGAATCTGTTCAAGCACGAATCGAAAGATAAGCCACACGGTCGGAAAGGTACAGCAGAGCTTCAGCGCCCACCTTCAATTGTCGGATCATATTCATCCACGAAGTGGCTCTGGATCAATTGGATGGTCAAGCATGACTTTCCGACACCACCACCACCGACGACGACGAGTTTGTATTCTCTTAAAAACTATATGCGACCGAGAGGTGAGCGAATCGTCATTTTTTCCGGGGGGCGAGGGAGTTCGGAGATCATGAAGAGAAAGTGGAAGTCGGGAAGGGAGGTGACAGGAGGCACATGGAAGCTAATGACGGAAAGTGGAAAGCGCAGCGACAAGGCTTACCTTTGAAGCCATTCTGGTAGGTTCTGGCTTGGTATTATGCTGTGAGGGAGGGAAGGGAAAGAGGGGGAGAGAAAGAGAAGCGGTTAATCGAAGCTATCCCAACAGGAGCTGTGACAGCGGGTCTCAGGAGCAGCAACACAAATTTCTTTTGCAGAAAGAGACAAGACGAACAAAGAGTCGGGGCCCAGGTCGTCGGGGGTTTCGCGCAAAGCAAAGGCGCCTAAAGGGCAGTCCACAGCAACGGCGGGTCTAATTGATTAGGCCAAGCTTAAAGCAGCAGACTGGGGGGGTAGTGGAAGCAGAAGTGCGTGTGGGAAGCAGGATCCAGGGGGGGGGGTCGTGGAACTTTGCAGGCAGGCGGGAATTGAAAGGCGAACCGGCAGGGTTTCTGCGTAGTCTGCAGTTCGTCTTGACCCAATTCGTTTTAAGCGACCAGGGAATATGGAAAAGTCAAAGGGAACTACTTAGAACACCTTCGAGAATCAGGGTGGATTCAAGGAGGAGTAGAAGAAGAAGAAGAAAGAATAGAAAAAGAAAGTAAAAAGAAAAAAAGGGAAAGAGAATGGGGTGGAGAGACTTGGGGGAGGGGAAAGGGGAGAGAGGGAGACACAGAGAGAGAGGATGATGATTAAGGAGAGTTAAACCAACTGAGGAACGGAGGTGGGGATAGGCAGAGCAGCCCAGAAAGGAGGAAGAGTCTAGATAGTCAACTACTGAATACTAACTAATTAGTAGTGGACAAACAGTCAAGTAGTAGTAAGTAGTATAATTGGAGAGGAATTTCTTCCAGAGAACACAAGCCAATGTCACAAATTGAAATATGTAAATAATAATTATTAACCGCGGGATAAGCGCCTTGATTGGTGTGGAATAACCCCTACCGACGCAGTGAAAAAGAGCGCACTTCCATGGAGAAATTGATATGATGCGGCTGCTGATTGGAAGGAAGGGGATTTCGAAGGTTCGCCAGAATTAATCTTACCATAATCACTAATGATATGATAATCCACCTAGTGCAGGAGTCGGTTCAGTACAAAGGTCCTAGTCTTATCTGACTAGTACTGCTGCTGCTGCTGCTACTGCTGGTCTTAAAAAAACAACAACTTGCCTCCGATTAGTCGGCAGGAACTATGAGTACTGAATTGAAAGGGGGGAAGAAGGGAAGGGGAGGGAGTGCAAGTGTGAGAGAGAGAAAGAGAAAGAGATGAGCAGTGGGTGTGGCATTAACCGGCAACGCGTGTGGATTCCCACCAATCCAGCCAACTGTTTAATTTCACTGGTCCCGGTTGGCCCACCCGCCGATAATTAACCTCAATCGTCCGATCGCAAGATATGAAATGAACCTGAACAGCCTGCAAGCAGTCAGTCAGAAGTAGATTCCCCAGACAGACAGACGGCCTAGTAATTAGCATAGTTCTGTCAATCCTAGTATTTAATTTTCTTCACTCAGTCTGATCATCCTTGATAGGCTAACTGCAATGGTATTGGAACAAAATTGAGTCAGTCAATCGGGGGGGAGGAGGAAGAGGGAAAATGGTTGCATAGTGAGGTAGCCTGAAAAAAGGGGCCGGGGATCGAATTCCCAGGGCACACCCAAGATTAATGATCCATTGGGTCTAGTCTCTCGCTGTCCCTCTCTCTCTCTCTCTCTCTCTCTTCCTCTCTTCTCTCTTTCTCTCTTACTGCCAATACCCGTAAGAATTTGGTGGTTAATGGTTAAATAATACGAAGAGAATAAATTAGTTCCCTAGTACTATCTAGTTATCTGGTTCAACTTACTTAATATAATATTATGGATTTCATTTCGTATTGATGATCTAACCCAGCAGATGTATTCCACCACAACCGCAACACTCAATAAATGGTGACTTTATTTATTAGCCTGGCACACAACAATAAAATTCCCGACTCTACTAGCAGTTATTATGCAACTTGATTCGACTACATGACTTGTGAGACCATTCCATTCATCATACTATCTGTCTCTCTCCCAGATTAATCTTCACCAAGATCCACCCACCTTTTTTAGCGCCGGTCGTTAATGCTTCTAAATCGTCCAGTTGTGTCTCCATCCCAACCTTTTCCCCCCCCTGAGGGTCCTTTTCCCCCCCTGGCTCACCTTACGCAACACAGTAAACGAACGAATAGCTTCCGGAGTCAAAGCCAATCATCATGAAGCCTACTGGGTGGATGCGCTCCTCTCTTGACTCTGCGTCCCGCTCCGGTTCCTTGAACAAGTGAACTCCTTCGGTCCCAGGGTGCAGTCTTACTTACGCAAGCACGGTAAGAAGATGCAACAAAACGAACACCCATTGCTAATAAGTTTCCCGTCCGGCTCAGTCAAAACTCGGAACGATCCATTGAACTAAAGGCCCTGGCCGTTACGATTTAATAGAAAAAAAACGGGGGCGGATTTCCCGAGAGGAAGTTCTACTGGAAAAGAAAAAAAGAGGGTAAATGTGTGAGTGGGAGACAAGAGAGAGAGAGAAAAGACAGCATTCATCCGAGAGGTTCTTGTCCTTTCCCGGCAACCGTTTTCCTTCTAGAAGGGTAGAAATCCATTCTCAGCCTTAACAGATGTTACCTGACAGCTCCGATTTGACACACCGAATTACATCATGATTCGAAATATTGAGTCTGGGTTTGGCTTCGTTTTGGCTTCGACAGCGTCATGGAATTGTGTCCCTGAGAGGGGGGGAAGCGAACCTGAGTCCAATGGAGGGAGTCGTGCTCGACTAGTCCAGAAGAAGCCTAAAATAGCCCCAGAGGCCGAGTTCAGGATGTTCTCCACGCCTCCACTTTGCCAAAGGTGATATATTGGTCTGTGAGACCGTCCGATCCCATAGCCCAAGTTGCTGCTCAATCAACCACTGGCGAATGAGGCGGCGACATCGATACCAACTCCTTGCTCCTCCTTCGGTGATGAGCGGAGTAAATCCCGGATGATACCCTCGAGTGTCAAAAGATGACGTCCCGCAAATTTTAACCCCGGAAGTTCTGAACACATTTTTTGGCATCCTTGCATCCCAGCTGCAGCTGGGGAGATTTTGCCCTTGCTCCCCGTAATACCACTACTTCCTGCAGTGTCGTGCGTTGATCCTTTCCCACCACATGCGCTTCTCATTGAGTCTCTCTCCAGGGTCGTCTTATCTTCTGTTTCTGCTACTACTACTACCCTGAAGCGAAACTAAACCCACCCGTGTTTCCGAGCCATGGCACCCAAGCCACCGACTCAAGTCACATTGCCTGATTCTGCGCACAACTGCTGATCACGGAAATTTCTTCCATTCTACCGACTCGTCACATTGACAGAGCCATGGGTTTGGTTTGGGGGCTACCCAAGTCTGGGTAAACCGACCGCTTCAGCGAACAAAGATACGGCGGCGTCCCTGCGCCATACCTGCGGGGTCGTCCGGGCATGCGACCGAGATCGGTACCTGTCACCTAACCTGACTATCGTACCAGTCATACTCCAGACCTCAATCCATGTGCCTGAATGCCCAAATCATGATCAAACATTCTCCTGCAGCAACTACCAGACCAGCCCAGCAGAGCACTAATTTAGCTGCGAAGATACCCTAACCGAAGTACATCCCCACCGCCCTCCGATGTGCGGTCTGCGTGTGCGTGCTTGCTTTTATCTTCGAGCAACAAGACCGAAACTTCAATGACTGGATCGCTAGCCCCAGGCGACAGCCATCAAACCACGTCCATGACGTGGCCAGACAAGAAACGGGGCATGCAGCATCAAGCCCATCCATCACATTGAGACTTGCAGTAGGCAGAGTACCTAGGCCACACCTAGTACAGCTACCTGAGTGGGGTCACTTCAGTCAACCTTCTCTCTCCCCTCTGTGACACATCCAACGCCTCCAACCATGTCGTCAAAACGTCAACAATAACTTTGTTCCATAACTGGCGCATGTCAGAATGATCTGCGGGGTACCAAGACCCAGATAGGCGTCGCTTAATCCATCACAATTGACTTTTGGCTGACACAAAAACCCTGAGCCACAAAAGGGGTCATAGCTGAATACTGCCCCCTTTTCGGATCTCGGATAACTACCTAACTACCTTTGTCTATATTGACACTGCCACTACAAGTAAGTAACGGAGTACAATAGGAATTGGCACATTCCAAATCAGCAGCCATTAATCGTAAGAAAAAGACCAAACCAATTATCAGGATTGAATTTCAAATCATATGTTCTTACATAGCATAATTCATTCATTTCCCTTTCGGCCCCCAATGATAATATGCAGGGGTGTATGTAGATAGTCTACTTAAAGCTTTGGGGGGGGGCCAAACCAGCCGGCCGGGGGGGTGTCCGTTCTATCTCCTGAAGAAACTTCAGTGGAGAAGGAGAGGGAAGGGACCATGATATTTCCAAACTAGCAATTGGCTGCATATTGTACAGTGAAATTATCTTGATACTTTAAAAAGCTTTTCGTGTCAAGCCCCTCTTAAGCGATGCGCGGTTAAGAAGTCCTCCCCCGATAACTATTCTAGTATACTAATATAGATATGCCTCATTAATAGAGAAGCCAAGCGAAGCTTACTTATCACTTCCTCTACAAGAGGGTACAGTCAGTGCACAGCTAACCCCGATATGTTCATGTTCATTGTATTGATTGAAATATGTCGCTACGTACATTCCCGACTAGCTAGCTGCCTTATCTTTTGCTTTTTGGTTTTCTTTTTTCAGAATAGACCAGGTCCTCTGGCAGTTCTCTTCTCTTCTCTCCTTGAAATAAAAACGGAAACATGTTATGGAGATTTTTTTTTCTTTTGATTAAAGAAGAAGAATGTAAAAGAAACAAAGAAATTCGTTCTGAGAAGTCGTCATCATATCGTATCGTCCATGGGTACTTAATATTGACCCCGCAGTAAGATGGAAGAGTAATCCAGGGATAATAAAGTGACCATTATCAAGAGATCAGACCGGTACTAAACCCCAAAGGTAAGATCAAAGTCAGCATGGAAATCCCGAATGCAACAAGAAAAGAACCGGTTCTTCTTCAGCCGGCTCCCAAGTCAGAGTCGTAGTGAAGGTATCGTAAAAGACAACGTCCCCTTGTTCCCAGGTATGCCAATAACAAACCCTGCGGTCGTAGAGAAGAGGATTCAGAACATTGCATAGTCTATTTGAGTCAGCGTCTGAAATGTCTTCCATGGCGTAGGTGGCTTCCGAGGTGATGTTGCTTTGAGAGAGGAGTGGATGGTAACGGAAGCAGGGCCGGCCATGCGAGAAGTGTGGTGTGATCAAGGGCAGACTGTTAGTCTTAGTGTTGGTGTTGGTGGTTGAGCCTGATGCCTTCCAGGAGAACTGCTGGAGCATTTCGACGGTGTAGCTGGCTGGAAGGTGGGAGAAGAACAGAGATGAAGCGGAGAAGAGACTGCGTCGGGTTTTCTCTGAGATGGGGACAGTGGCGGTGATCATTTGATATCTGAGTTGGGAGGGAGTTTTATGTGAGTGGGAAGTAATGAGTTTTAGGGGAGAGGGAGCGAGGGAGGGCTTACTTGGATGGAGATGAAATTGGGGACTGCTTCGTGTTGTCGGCGTCTTTATCCTTCGTTATTTCAGCTGCCCCATCGAAGGGCACCCAACCTACCCGGATAAGCTCTTCTAGCTCCTGTGGATCACTGTCTTCGGCTTCTTCTTCTATATTGAAGTCGGATGCCGAAAGATGAGAAGCGTCCATACTCTCGGCTTTCTGCGCGATCAGCTCGTGGTCATGACTGTCTGTGAATCCGCGAAGGAGGATAGGCGAGTTCTCGTTTGCTAGAGCCTGGACTTTCTCCTTGTCGATTGCGCCAATTGAGGTTGGATTGACAGGAGTAACCATCATACCGCAGGGATAGATGGGGTCGACTGTCACCGGCGATGACCAGTTATACAGCTCAGATTTAAACCGGTAGCACCATGGATGTCCGTTCTTGAGAACCACCTCCAGTCTTGGGTCCGCGTCGAAAATCTCTCGCCATCCATACATAAAGCCGCCGTCAACAGTATAGCAAAGTGCTGAATGCCATGGTGTGACTGGCGTTGGAGTTCTCGGGAGAACATTTATGGAGATCTTGGTTAATCCATTTGAAGGGTGGATGGAAAGACGAATGTAACCTGGGAAGTTCCTTGATATAGCTTCTGCGAAGGCCTACAGTGAAACCACATGTGTTAGTGGCAGTCAATACTGTGCATGCTTGGTTAGCGCTAGAGCTCGGGGTGAATTATTCCACTCACCGCGCCCCGTTCTATCATGGATTTAGCGACATCTCCCAAATGTTTCTTATGCGATTTGCGAGACTTGGTACCATCATCTACATGAAGGTGTTCCAAGTCCTTGGTCAAAAACTTGATGTATCCTCGGTACGTGGTGCAGATGTTTTCATCGGACTTGATCTTGACAGCGGCGTCAAATCCCTCCGGTGTGTACCTTCTAATCAGCTCCTGGCGAAACTCTGGAGCCAATTTCTCGTACGTCTCGCCATCAAGGTTGACGTTTTCATGAATATGAACAAGGTCGCGCAGTCTGGCGAAATCGATATGGTTGTATTTGTTTTCGGCTGCCATATCCCTCAGTGCATGGCTATACTCCCAGACGTCTCTGTCAGACACGCCGAGGATATCTATCGACAGTCAGTTTCTATCTGAGCATACAAGATCAAGAGTATGATCTTCTCGACTTACCGTTGTACACGAGGCCATCAGACACGATGGTGAGTTTAGCGCCATAGTCATAGACGTCACCAATAGCAGCGCAGAGTCCATTAAGGTGCGCGAGAGAAATCTCTTCGCCTTTATCAGGAAGGCTTCCCAAGACCTTATTCTCCCGGTTCGGAGATTTGAAGGGGAAAGCCGGCAAGATCATTTGGATCGGCTGTTTGGCGCGTATCTGATTACACATCTTGGATAGAAACATAATGTTTCCATCGCTGGTGTGGTCCCTTGCCGTGGCTGGCACCACGCTACGATACCGACCGATGACTTCCATGACTTTGAAGGCCTTGAGCAGTGGATCATCATCGTACTTGCATTCTGAGGCTTGTGGGTCGATGCTGGACGCCATGGGGGGCTTGTCCAACTCCATATGGAAGATGCCTTGGTCCTTGTTGAAAGGGTCTGCCTCCATATGGAGGGTATCTGATTTCATATGGACAGGGTCTGACCCCATGGGGATGACATCCACGTCCACAGGAGGCACCTCTGACTCCGTATGGAAGGTATCTGATTTCATAAGGAACATATTCGTCCCCAAAGAGACAACGCCTGCTCCAAGCTTGGGTGTGTCATCCATATTGGCGCAGTTTAGATCCAAGTATGGGCAGGTGTGTTGAGTGCATCTCAGAAGATTGAGACGTGAAGGAGTACACGTCCAGATAACACGGTGTGAGACTGCACTTCACTGGCGACATGACGACTAAGCGATGTAAACTCATGTTCAACTATGGCTTGAGCTCGGCGTGAACCGTTCAGGGCTCAGGGGCCGTGATGTCAATCACCAGAATCAACATTGCTCGGTGCCGGATGCAGTAATGCATGTACCCGCCGGAACCAGACGATGATTAGCCCCTTCGTGTACCCTCACCATCCACTATCAGTTTCAGGGTGACAAGGTGGGGGTGCAATGCTTTGCTGGCATTATTTGCAGAATGCTTATAACTCGCTCAGCCACATCGAAACGAGATGTCTTAAGGGTGGTGCGAACAAGAGAGAGAATGGGTTGAATACTATTTAGTAGTTCTACACAAGAAAGTTCAATATATACAATGAGCCGGCAGGGATAATGCAGATCGATTGTCCCCTCGGGTCGCGAAAATGTCACCGTTGCATCGGCACCAAACTCCAAAGGCTCGTTCAACGGCACATTGGGAGTGCGGTTATATATACTGGGTCGTAGATCCACTTGGCGACATGGCAAATTTCTAGCTACGAACATTTCGCGAACCAAAACTGCTGGACGTCCATGTTATAAGCAGAGGTATTGGAAAGATATATTCCATCAACGTATAACCGATACCGGATATAGTTGGCAATGGCGGACTCGGTAGTATCACGTCGCTCCCTTCACATAGCGGAGTCAATGCAATACAGCTACTTAGATCCAGATATGTACTCTAATCATGTAATATCATCTGACCAAATTATCTAGATCTACCCAAACCGAGCCAATTCTAAAGTCGCTGCACAACGGGTGCTTCTACAAGCCCACAATTCAGATATGGGTATACACTAAGCCTTGCGGTGCATGGAAGTCGGCGATGCCTATGAGAAGATGTCATCAGCTATGCTGTTGATGTTTGTATGCGAGTTTGACTTACTTGGTGGCTAGGGAAGATCAACGTATCCGCAATCACAACATTCTCGCGCCGACCGGCGGCAAATACAACCACCTCAGCAATGTCATCGGGTGTAAGTGGTTCGCAGCCGCTGTATTATCCATAGTTGTCAGTATTTGTTCATGTGCCTTTAGTCCGCTGAGAGTAATATAAAAGGGGTCCTCACGCATAAACTGCATCTGCCTTGGCCTTGTCACCGTAGAATCGTACAACGGAGAATTCCTATCGAAGATTATACATTAGAAAGGGCCATGCGATTGACATAGGTGAAGTCTTACCGTCTCAACTTGACCAGGATCAATCTCAATAATACGAATTCTTGTGGCAATGAGTTCCTTCCTCAGAGCATCGGTGAAGGATCTAATAGCCGCCTTCGTGGCGCAGTAGATGCTACCACCAGGGTATGCCTCACGGCCAGCGATACTGCCAATGTTGATGATATCTCCTCGACCACCATCAGCCCTCTTCTTGAATATGGGAAGGATAGCCTGAGTCATGTTGATCAGTCCGGTAACGTTGGTCGCGAACATGATGTTGATGTCTTCAGCTTCAATTTCTGGGGCCTTGGCAACACCCTTAACGAGGCCTCTGTATTCTTCTTAGTATGGCCTTGGGATTGACAATGGAACAAAGTTGTGACTCACGCATTGTTGACCAAGACATCAATCTCCTTGAACTCCTCGGGCAGAGAAGGCACGAATTTCTTGATATCTTCCGGGTTGCTCACATCCAGCTGCACAGGCAGCACCTTCACACCCTCACCAACTTCCTCCTTGATCTCCTTGGCCAGCTCCTGCAGAGACTCGATCCGTCTAGCAGTCACGATGATCTTCAGGTCCTTGGGAGAAGTGCGAGCGAATTCCTTGGCAGTGCTTCGTCCAATACCGGAAGAAGCACCAGTCACGAGGATGGTCTTGCCTTCAAGACGCTTTGCCATTGCTGTCGCCATTGTGCGTTTGATGAATGCTGGCCTGATCGCAGCACGAAACGGAAGTGGGGTGGATGCGGAGAATGTCCCGGATGAAGGGGAGAGCTGTCGCAGGGATCTGATAGTGCTGTGACACGCTTGTAAAAGCCGCATAAAGAGCCTGTCAGCTGGCGTTGGTGACGGTTAAGTTAAGGAAGAAAAGGTTTCCAATCGGACGAGAGGACAGGGGCTATTGGTGGTTTCTTATGAATCACAGGCCGAAGGTCGGGATGGCGTGCGGGGATCCGGCGAGGCCATTTCGTGCTCGGCGGGCGGGGGGCCTGGCCTCGGCTGATGGTTATGCCGGTCGGACTGGCTTCCGATGGCTGCTTTACATTCTTCCAGCTTCTGCTTCTCCCCCTACTTTACGTCTGCTGGGATGGATGGCTCATTGGCGATAGGCTCACCTCTTTATTCGACACAGAGCGCTACCAGCTTCTCAAAGTACACTTTTGAGTCATTTATCAACATGAGTACCTTGACTCGACCTTCAAAATTTGTCAATATATGTCTCTTGAAAAGTTGACTCACCCGTTGAGTGAACTCGCTCGTTTCCTGATTGCCGGAAACACCACGGGATAACAAGTCATACAGAGACAATTTTCAAGGCCATTAGCAGAGGATGTCATGTTCATGCTTAACCAGAGCTTTCCTCATCCAAGCATACCATCTTGTATGCTTGGCTAGGCCCGACGAAAGCATTGATCGTCCGCACTCATGCAAAGATTCAAACTGACACTGCTGATAGACCACCGCACATGATCTTCACAGAACAATCTATATAAATATCGCATATATTTTTCCTTCTGTTATTGGCGCCAGTGTGGGAATGTCCGTGAATGGCAGATACCCTCATACGACACGGACGTATCGTTTCAGTTGGCGATAGCTTAACAGCGGGAAATCTTCGAAGAAAGGGAAATTAAAAACATTTTTCCACAGCGTTCCTGATCATGAATCTGGCAATTCATGTCACGATGATGGGGAAAGCAGTTCATTCGCGATCTTGACCTCTTAGCGACCTTGACCTTTTAGCGATCTGATGACCACGAGATAGTCTTATGGCCTGCGCAATGAGCGGCCACGAAACCAAAATCCCCGAAGAGCGGGCTTTGCTTTTCAGAACGCAGAATACGCCAAGGCTTCCATGCATTTCTAGGTAAATAAATGTGCATGACTATGCAGAACTAGCCTATTGGGCTGGATCAAGATTTATGCTACCTATCTGCGAAAATTAACTACAAAGACAAAAATCGGACATAATTACCTGTTGAGTCTGTTGGACACGGGGTTATTGCATTAACTTCAATAAAGACGACACCAGAAGGCACAAAACCACGGGTCCGTGAGGAAAGCTACCTATTCGCCTTTATAATTGCGACATGAGAGGATCAGTGCGAGGTGACAGCTATAAAAAGCCACTGGGCATATGATAAAGAAGATCTTCCTTCGGATACTTTGATGTGCGAGTTTCCGGTATTGGTCTGGTGCTGGCGATCGTTTGTTACCGAACGTGCTAGCGAAGAGCTCAAGAGTTCAGGCCGCGTTCGTCTACAGTCCATCCAGTGCATCCACTATGATGAAAGACAAGCCTAGTTTGAACGAACCACGGACTTCAGGGATCTGCAAACTCCAAGCGAAGAGATCGTCATCCCGGTTTTCAACCTTAAGATCATGTGCTCGGGCACGGTAGGCACGCTCTCTGGTTGTTGCGCGCGTATGAGGTGCCGGACACTTTAGATGATCTAGCATTGACACCTCGATATTTGTGGATTTCACATCAGTAGGATTGAACTAACACGGTATCTACTAAGCCACGTTTAGCACGAAGAATAGGAACAACAATGTTATGAGGTAACAAAATTTGCGAGCATAAAGAAGGAAATCAATCATGGGTACCAAGCCAGGAAGTCTAAAGCCCGAAAACCCAAGTCAACTGTGGAGTGTATTCCTTTTTCAGCGAATGGCCGGCGCTCCGAAGGGGCGTTGATTGCGAGATTCGGAACTCATGGTGGTTAACAGGTTAACACCAGGTAATCAGGTCCGACGTGGTAAGTAGTCTTTGGGACCCTCAGCCCTATTGGAGGAATCGTAGTTTGTAAACAGAATTGTCTATACGAAATTAAGGTTGGGGTTGAAGAATCAAGGAATTCTGGTAGACTTTGAGCCCGGAAGCGATTCCGATGCTCGTGCAATGTTTGACAAAAGTCCTGAGGCCATGGCTTGGACAGTCCGTCATCTGAAGGAGGTAACTATTGAAATGGTTGTACGTAGTATCTTCTTGTCGAAGTTCTGGCAATTGCTTTGGGATGGAGTTGGGGGCAGTGGATCGTCAGGGATAGTGGCTGGTCACTCGCTCTTTGACCGCTTCGGTGCCTTCTTTCCCTTTTCCCTCTCCGGCCGACGATCATCGCTAGCTTTTGACACTCCTCCAGAGCCCCAGAGTCAAGGCATCTGTACCAATGAGAGAGACCTCATGCTCCAGGAAAGTTCGACGGGCTATTTCCGGGGGCCAAAATGACATTATTGACATTTGACACAGGTCTATCTATTCCACTGTTGACACCTCCCTCGTCCGTCGATCTTCGCACCTTGACTATACCCTTCACTCCAAAAGCATTGGATTTGCACGTCATTTGCATCCTCCCCCGTTGCACGTACCCCATGGTATCTATCGTGCAACTAAGAATTGCCCCTTTTATGACACCTGGAGCTTCGCATGGGACGGTGCCTTGAGAGGACCATGGTGGGGACTTTTCCACCCATTAGTTGGCACCAATGAACGAAACGCCACCAAGCATAGGCTCAAAGACAAATACTCAGCTATCGAGACCAAGCTTCAGAGCCAGAAGGCATTTAGTCATCGGGTTGCATGGCAAGAAATTCAAATAGAACGTCGGGCAGCTTCCCCGACCTTCCGTAAAAGGTTTCTGCTGCGTTTCTGTTTACTATTCAATGGTGGCGCTCTACCAACTGGCTGGTAGTGGACATCCTTTGCCGCTTAGAGCTTACCCGGCGCAGCAATAGCGCCGCGCTATCCAGCCTCGTCCTCCCCATTCCCTTTGGACCTGCATGGGGGACCCATCGTCTATTGATGATCCTAGCCATATTCTCGCAGCTGCATCGCTGAATTGGGATGAGAATTTGCAACAGCCGTAAGACAATCGAACCCCGAGTCTTCCTTCGGGTTCCATTCCCCCGGAATAATGTATGTCATTTGGATTACCAAGCCACGAGGAGCAACAATGGAAAGCACGCCCCTGTTCTATGCAGACTCGATGCGAGGGTTGTACAGCATTCTCCACATGCAAGCTCGGAGTCCACAGCTTTGATGCAGCCAAGCCTGGCAACGGCTGCAGGCTTGCGACCTGGACTCGTATGGTCCCTGGAGGCACGAGTCATGCGAAACAAACAATATCCCCCGCCATAATACACGCTATTTTGTGGAATAGTAGTTAATATCGTCTGCCTTTGTCCCGGGCATCCGCGGTTTCAGTGTTTCTTTCATCATTTATGAATAGGTGGCACAGCACTTAGTGTCCAGGCAAATTATGCAATTTCAAATCCTTACCGGGTCAAACTTCGGCCATGGTGTGCTCTCTGGATTGATGTGATCGACGGTTACAGGTGAGGAAAACGGAAATAGAAGACTATGACTACTAGTAGTTGTCGCTTGCCGCCCAAGGTTGCGAGGAGACAGGGACCTGCGTGGACAATAGCACGAAGCGCGGACACGCTGCCTATCGAGCACTCGAGCGTACATCAAAGACTTCCCCAAATATGCCGATCAATCACTGAGCAGATAGCGATCTATCGTTTTAGGAATTTTCCGACCAGTGATGAATGATAAGTAAGAAACCATGGTTGATGTTGTCCACGTTTGACCGGAACGGGTGAACGCAGAGGATAAATGTAAGAAGCTGGCGAACGCTAAGAGAATATCTGCTCCACAGCGAAGCTGATTGTGCGAACTGTTGTTGACCTCTTTTACGACAACCCACAATCTTAATATGCAAGTTTAGCTTTTATCGAGGCGCGAAACCTTGTTGGGGAGGAGCCATCCGGGGTCTTCCGCTAATCGGGGTCTGGTGAAGTGGTGATGGCCATCTTTTGCCCTGCTATGCATGCTCCTCATGTCCTTGTTGCCTTGGACGTACCCTGAATTGCCAGTGTTAGCCAGAACCCAGGCTCCCAGAAAGGACTTAGTTCATGCAAGGCATTGGACTAGAGATCTCGTGTTTCTCCTCGCTGGGTGACCCACCGCCACGCTGAAGGGCAGATCATTTCTTATCTTGAACTATTCGCAGGGATAGAATGACATGGACGAGCGAATAAATGCTCGAAATCGTGCCATACACGTTTTAGTCTACCTAGTGCCAGAAGACTTCTATGCCCCTTTAGGATTGTGTGCCTCCACCGACACTATCCACACCAGCACGGTCGTGGCCGAGTCTCATCAATTTGAAACCCGTGGAAGAACATTCTTCAACATCATCTAAGCCGGATCAAGAACGCCACCCAGCTTTCTCCATGTGGCTATTGATCCTGGTCTTATTTTGTAGCACCCCGGGGACTTTGCTTGCGGTCCCTTCAGGGGCACAAGATGAGCTGGGGATACACGAGCCAGAAGGTTGAAACGGGCATTTTGTGTTTTGAACTTCCCTCCTCTACTTGGTGGAGCCAATCTAGCCGAATCAACGGTACCGTACGAGGGATATTGCCGAGTCCGTACCAGCCAAGTCGAAAAACGCACTATACTCCAGGAGGGAAGTTCTCAAGACACCATTGTGGCGTCCCATGGATCGACCATCGGAGAGAGACTCCAGTGACAGGGCGTTGGGTGCCATTCTGGGTCGCGCTCTCCAGGCCGCCGTCTTGATTGACTAATGTCTCCCCTACAAGCGCATCCACTCTGCCGTCTGCCCACGACACCAGTGGAGACCGACAGCTTAGTGCCATAGATCATTACTGCAATTTGGAAGGAGTCCGGGTCATGTAGCCACACTGTGCCGGGCAACACCGAGCTGAAATTGTCTACTACGTACGCTATGAATCTCCTTCCAGGGCTCCCCAGCAGTCTAGCGGCCTTCGCACGCTATTAACTACTATCAAACTTTGAGCTATTGCGGGGGGTATTCGGGCTTAATTCGCTGAACTGTTAAAAGCAGGACCCCCGATACTTTTCTTTTCCCTCTTTTACCCCGGTGTAGGATCTTGAAAAGCAACCCTACTTCAAGAGTTGGCGTTAGCCCACACATTCCCTTCTCGAAACCTTGTCGGTGCATATTCGACCCATGTGGTAAAACACGTTCCGGCCTCTAGGTTTAAGAACCTGGAGACTGTACATCTACGCAGATCGATCTATTGACCGCAAACCAATGCAATAACAACAACCTACGCTTCATCGTTTACATCACAAATCACACGCTCTTTTGTGCAACACTTATCTGCTCAACTGGCCCACTCCTTTGCCATGCTGGACGAAATGATGGGAAGCATGCTGCTTCCCCGGACTACGGATGATGGTACAGCTCGCGGACAGCGAGCCCTGGTAGTGACAGCCGTGCTTACCGCATTCTCAATCGTCATCGTCGCTATGCGAATGTATGCGCGAATCGGGATAATGAAATTGACTGGTCGTGAAGATTATACGATTCTCATTTCTTTGGTACGTATCCTGGATAGGGGATTTGGATGCTTGCTGGTAAAGTGGCTTATATTGATATTGTTGCATGTAGGTGTTAGCATGCACTTATCTTGGTCTTGTTGCTGCTGGTAAGTTGTGGCCATCCGTCAGCCACCGGAAATATCTCTCTTACATGCTGCAGAGGTACATTTTGGACTCGGGAAACATGACGACGATTTGTCCGACGTTGTTGTGAAAGAACAACTAAAGGTAACACTTCCCAATACGACTCAGTCTCTAAACCTATACTGATCCTCTCTGTCATGAAGCGACTCTGGGCTGCTATCCCCTTCTATAACGCCAGCTTGATCTTTACCAAATTTTCCATTCTTTTCCAGTATCTTCGGATCTTCCCCGACCGTCGCTTCCGGCTTGCCTGCTGGATCGTGTTTGGTATTGTGGCTACTTACGGAACATGGGCAGTAGTCAGTGGTTTCTTGAACTGTGTCCCAGTGGCCAAATTCTGGGACCGCAACATCTCCGGCTACTGCCTTAGTTTCGAGGCAGTCTGGTTCTTCAACGCATCGATGAACATCGCTACGGACACGACGCTGTTGATCCTGCCGATGCCTCTTCTGTCGCAATTACAACTTCCGCGCATGCAGAAATTGGCCCTGATGGGCGTCTTTGCAGTCGGTGGACTGTAAGTCATGGCGATCGCCAATCTGTCCAATGCATGCTAATCACCATGCTCCAGGGTCGTGATCACAAGTATCCTCCGTCTATCCAGTCTACGAAGCGTAGCTCAGAGCACCGACACATCTTGTATGTACTCTTCCGCCGCGTCCCTTATTCTGGGATTCAAACTGACAAACGAATCAGACAGCAACGTCGGCGCTGCCTATTGGACCGCTGCAGAATGCAACGTCGCCATCATCTGCGCATGCCTACCATTCCTTCGTCCGCTCGTCAGCCGCCTCTTCCCTCGCTTCCTCTCGACCAACAGCTACAATCGCTACACCCGCAACCCCACCATGTCAGCCAGTCGCATGACCGCCACTCGGATGACCGCGCGCTCGCACCGGCAAAAGGTCGAGCTTTACTCCCAAGACCGTGACTACGGCATGTACACTATCGACGTCAAGTCCGGTGAAGCGAGCCACGATGGCGCGCTAGACGGAATCGCAGTCACCACGACGACAATGATTCAGGAGACATCGAGAAACAACGACGAGTCGACCAGTCAGCGTCGGCTAGTTGTGGATGTTTAATGATCATTTCTGTCTCTGACCTTTCGCAATCTCGCACACACTCATTACTTCCCATATATTCACGAACTTACTTTCTTCTGATACCACGATGCATGATATATGACGCTGCATCTTCAACATTACCCCTTCTTTTCCATATACTCTTTGATCCTGATATCCCACACCTGCACTTTGTTTCACGCATGCATACCTACTTACCTACCGATCCACCTTCGTGTACATTCTTCTCATTCTCCGGATGTCTAATCATCGACGACTTTACGACCATGCTACAAGTTAAACCCCCTCTTTCTGTTTCTCAGTTCTTTGTACATTTACTTCCTCCTCCTTTCGCTCATCTAACGAGCTCCTAGTATAATCTCTCTGTACAACAGACACTAATAGATAGTAGACGGAGAAAACCGGTAACTAGCAAGATCGATAAATATCAGACCAAGAAAAAAAAGAAAAAACCAAACACCACTAGAACAGACCAACCTAGCGTCCCGGATAAATAGAAACCCGCCCTCCCTACGGAGTATTTATCTACCTACCCACCGAAATCTAAGATTAATAATTCTCACACGGTCAGAATTTCCCCCCCGCCCCCTTCCTCCCTCCCCCTAATCTTGATCTTATCAATCGCATCACATCATACCATATCTCAATTAGTACGTAGTGACATTCGCCAGATCTAGAACAACACCCCCTCTCACCCTCTCCTGTACCCCTCCTTCACAGCACAGTAGATAGATAGATAGATAGATAGATATATACTATTGTTATACACAAGTAGAACGATACTACAGTAGGGGAAGGTCATTATCGGACTAATTTCACTCACTTAGGTAGCTACTCACTATCTACCGCCAGTCCACACAATCAATCCCAATCAATTGAGATAGAACGCCTTTAGCATACATACTAGGTCCCATTTCCAACACTTTGCTAGCTACAATTCTCTAATTCTCTCAAGAATAAGGACCTCCTACCTCAGCACACACACACACACACACATACATACCCAAGCTTTACTAACATGCAGCCTATATCCATGAATCAGAACTCTGTGATGATCATAATAAGCGATGATCCTCTGAAATTAGCCGAGGCAGGGTAATACACAAAACAACGTAAAGATTGCAGTAGTAGTAGTAGTAGTAGTAGTAGTAGTAGTAGTAGTAGTAGTAGTAGTAGTAGTGAACTAACCAGCCGTATGTATGCTTGATACACTCAATTTATCTCCAGACCGGAAAACCCGGACGTAGAAAACTACTAATTACTACCGGTAGAGATGGGGCAGAAAAAAGAAAAATTCACACAAAACAGGTTTAAGGTAGATAGTGAGTATAATTTACCTATAGAAACTAGTAGTTATCTACTATCTATGGAAAATCCAACCAACGAATGACGCACAACTCAATCAACTTATATCAATTAACGAAATGTCCTACCATATTACTTCCAAACAGCAGCTTCCTTTTCCGTACGTGTGAAAATTTACAGTTAGCAAATGTGACAAAACAGCGATCGACTTGTTTATGTTTTGGTTTTCGTAACGAAAGAAACAGAAAGAAAAAAAAAAGCCGACGATCAAATCAAATCAAATCAAATCCCTTGCAGTGAGGGGTAAAATGTTTTAGACTGAACTAGAGGACTTGCGATGATATAATAACAATTACATGAGAATAATACTCTTAGTTGTAGGAGAGATTTTTGAGTACTGGAAAGGCCGAGGTCGGGCCGATCCGATCTAGTGAAAAGGAAATCTGGCAGTTAAGCTTATCAATCAGTCAATCTATGGTTGAGAGATAAAAAACTGATTTAATCAAATTGATGGGGTTTCAAGATAATCAATCGGTCGCTACAGGCTCGATCAGTCAAAGATCTTAATTAACTAGTTTACTTTAGATCAATAACAGCCATCATATGATCTTGATAAGTCCCATATTACCGAAATCTATTCAGTTATTCCATGACCTTACGAACACAGTCATCTCACACCCGGTTATCCCGTGATTAATAGCCTTGTCCACACGTCCGTCCGCCGGTACAGATTTAAACAAGGTGAAGGGGAGAGTGAGAGAAGAAGAGAAAATAAAAGTGTAACAAAACAAGCCTCCGTAGTGTCTTTCTTTTGTAATCGCTTATCCCGCCAGCGCTTCAAACAAATTAATCCCAAGTAGAATTAATGGAAAATGTAGAGAACTTTTTTTCCCTAATAGTGCACAAGTCCCGTGAAACTCATCGTGTTGCAAATGGTATCTCGTCAGAAAAAGTCTGCGCCAAATATGTGATTGGTGAAAGAGTAAAGGTAGAGAGCAATAACAGCATACACAGTCCTTGGACAATTGGATCCATGATCATTGTTGTCCTAGTTCCGCTAGCTCTCGCTCCTTTGCTCGCAGCATCTCTCTCATCTCTTCCGCTTCTCGTTGCAACTTTAAGCGACGCTCTTCCCTGATGTTGTCGAACTCCGACACACCGGGCAGCAACTGTGAGGGAGGGGGCGCAAGAGGAGAAGCTTGGTGAGATGGATGGTGCTGACGGCTGAGGGCAGCGAGTGAGGGGTCTAGGCGCGATTCGTCATGGCTGTTGGGGTTGAGGAGAGAAGAGATAGAACTGAGGCGGGCCGGAGGGGAAGGATTGACAGAAGACATGATCGGAGGAAGTTGGTTGGACCCGTTTTCCAAAGTCGTCGGGATAGACAACGCTTCTGCTGATGACGCGGTTTCTGCAAGGGTGCGTTTCTTCGGATTACCCGAGGGATTTGGCGAAAGAGACCGTCGACCAAACTGAGACACCGGAGAGTGGCTTGGGGCGTTGATGCGATCCGGCTCTAACAATCTTGGTGGCGGGGGATGGTGCGGTAAGGAGACGGGGCTGGAACTAAATCCGGTAAAATCGACAGGCGGGGGTGCAAAGCCAAATTGCTTGGGCGCGGCCGGTGAAATCCTGTCTCCGGACATCGGTCCATAGTGATCCACCGGCTCAGAGCTGTAGTAGCGGTAGTGATCGTCGTGGACGCGAGCCAACGTCGCTGGGGAGGCCTCTGGCGACGCAGAAGAGCCATTCGACGACTGCGTGGCAGCAGTCGGGGAGTGTTCCCGCAGCGCCGGCACAACGCGTTTTCGCCGCTTGATTATGGTCTTCTTCATTGTGGTGGGGCGATAGCACCCGTGGAGCTTGTAGTATAGACCTAATAGGGATGTTAGCCGCTTCAGGGCTCGTTTTGATTCCCGAGATAAGGCAAGAGAACATACCGCACGCATTGCAGATCGGATGACCATTCTCGTCTCGTCGCCAGAGCGGGGTCACAGTAGTTCCACAATTCTGACACGATACCAACATGTTTCCCTCGGCCGACGCACCACTTTTTCCGGGTACGTCCGGTTCCTGTGGTGGCAGAGGCTTTTCGCTATCTGGATTGGCGGGTCGACCCCAAGCATGCACCGGCACAGTCCCTCGGGCAGAGGACTTGTACACGCGGTTGTTGTAAGCTGGGCACCCGTCACACCCCTCAGCACCCCCTGTGCCGTTACAGTTGCCCCCACCTGGGCAAGATCCTTTGGAGCCATGACAGCCTCCTTCGCTATGGGTGTGTGCCTCATGCTGGGGTGCTATCGATGGTGGCTGTTGCTGTGCCGGTTGGGGTTGGACAGGTTCCGTGCTGCTCTGTATACGATTCCGCTTTGTGGGCCGGGCAACATTCCGTGCCTTCAAATACAGACCACAGGCATTGCAAATCATCGCTCCGGTCGGTGATCGTCGCCATAGCGGAGTGCTTTTCGTTCCACAGTTACTAAGTGTTACCAAGGAAGTCAGTACCGCCCAGGTAACAAACCAAGAGAGCCCAGGAAAACTCACCTGCAGGAATGTCCTAGAAAGGAAGTGTCCTTCTGAGACTTGGGTGATGTCCTTTCTGCGAGTGGGTTCGAAGCGGATTCGGTCGACGGCAGTGTAGGCCGTTCAGCATCGTAGGTGGGTGTATGTTTTCTCTCGTAGGCATCGTAGGCATCGTAGCCTCGAGCCACATCATCGTCACGGGAACGGTCCACAAGATGTTCTCGACCAGCCTGAGCAGATGAGATCAGCTGCTGAGCAGCGTCCAAGTCTTCCGCCGATGGATGCCGCGCAACCATATCCCGATTTCGAGGGAGCGATCGCACCGTCTCCATCTGGGGAATTGATGCCAGCATTGCCAACAAAAAAACGCCCACAGAAGATATTCGCTATCCTTCTCTATCTCACAGCGACAAGGTCCCCAGATCAAGGCAACCTGTGAGAGTAGAGCGAGTCACTCAAGATGAGAGCGTAGTCGAAATAAGGAGAAGGCTTTGTCGTGAAGGAACGTCGCACCACAGTCGGGGGGGCAAAGTAATGTATCGTATCACAAAGTCAAAAGTCGGTCAAGATGACAGTGCAGGGGGAAGGGAGAAAAAAGAAAAGAAAAGTCTAGCGACAGCCTGACTGAGAGGCAGGTAACTGCAGCTAGTGAAACTTCCAGAGCCAACCAGGCGGAGCCGGAGAGACGATAGAACACTGATCCCTGACGGTGACCTAAGCGTACTAGGCAGAGATAGGGGGTTCTCGGAAAAGTTGAGCGATCGTAAAGTTAAAAGGCAAAGATCAAGTAAGCAGCAGTCAAACTGTATTGATGGGACAACAGATCTGCCACGAAACGCTCGTATGTTGGCCAATCCAGGACGGGATGGTGTGAGTGGCGATCCTGTCGTAACGGATAGTGTGCCCCGGAGTACTGGGTGCGGATGAACAGGTGAGGAAAGGGTTTAAAAAAAGAAACGAGAGATCAAAAAAAAAAAAAAAAAAGGAAAAGGGCCGATCTCAAATAGATTGAGGGTGGGAGGCAAAGGGGAAAAGAACGGGAACAGAGGAGGCTCGAATGACAGAGACAGAGAGAGAGGGAGAGAGAAAGAGAACGGTCTGGAGAAACGGGATGATAGATCGATCGTTGTTTGGTGGGAGGGGAGGACAGCGGCGACAGGACAAGAAAGATCGGCGGTAACAGGACGATCAAAGAAGACGGATGGAATGTCGGATCAGATATGAAGGAGGGGTGTTGAGAGAGTAGTAGTAGAAGACGATGATGAAAGGGGGATGGAAGAAAAAGAAAGGGAGAGGATTAGGGGGGGCTGAGTGGATGGTGGAGGGAGTGGTGGTGAATGAGCAGGAAGGCGAGAGAGCCGAGGAAGAGATTGATAATAGAGGCAGGAAGTGGGTAAGTATGGAAATGGATGGTGGTGGTGGTGGTGGTGATGATGATGATGATGATGATGAAGGTGAGGGTGACCAGATAACCACGGGCCAGACCTTTTTCGGACGGTTCTGTCATGAGACGGGCAAATAGAAAGTACCAGATTACTTACCAACAACACGCCTCTCGGTCTGTTTTTTTTTCACTCAACTATTTTTAATGCGCTCTCGGTTTTATCTTTTTTTTGGGATGTCTCTGCCTTTTCTTTTTGGGGTTTTTTGAATTCGATTTTTTCTTTTTTTCGCTCCCTTCGCTTCTTCGCGTGTTCTGTCGGTCTGTCAACTTTTCCCAGCAGTATGGTCTTTTTGCTTATCAGGCAGCCCTCTCTGTTATCGATCTCCCAGGGGGATCTACGACCGGGGGCTATTCCTTTTCCTTCTTCTCGTCAGGGTTTTGCTTTTTCCTACTCTGCAATCTGTAGGTTCAAACCGATAGTTTGACACAATAAAAGTCTGAAACTCTTTAAACTTCGTTCATCTTCTATTTTTCCTTCCGCTAAGGAAGGGTGTGGTCAGAATTTTTGCGCGTGAGAGCTCGGTCGCGCAGTTCCCTCACCCTTTTTTTTTGCCCTCTTTGCTGGCCAATTCCCATCCCATTTGCCTACGGCCTCCCCAGATCGAATCTCTCGGGCTCCACCGCTTCCTATTGTGGTTTAGTAAACTGGGTCTAAGGGGCACTGCGCCTTCCCGAATCGTCCGTAGCGTGTCCGTTCACGAATAAGCGTTATTCATCAACCTATCATTGGCGAACCAAATTCTGGCGCTTCAGTCAGCGGCATTCTAGGCAACCACATTGGCTGCTTCGGAGATTCTATCACGATATCCCGAACTTCTATGCTCCGCTCCGATGGTCACACTATGCAATCTTTCGTTCGGTAGTCGGCCATAACGAAAGCACCGCCCTAGTGGTGCTAGCTGTTGGACTAGGTAACCAGACTGCATAAGATGGGCCCGAAGAGTCCCACTGGTCCCTATTTGGGACAATGTGGAAGCCCGTAAGGCTACTGCCTAAGCACACCGGAACAGGTTGTTATCTCTCCGACGGGCGGGCTGACGAAAGAGCCCGGTTTGATCTATCTCGCTCATGTGATTGGATTCTTACCCACCCAAGAACTGACAGCAACAACATCAACAACAAAGTACCTCAATTTATTTTCCCCTTCCGGATTGCTGATTCGCCCTGGTGTATGTAAACCATCATCTTCTAGACTTTTCATAACCTTCCGACACTGGCTGCACAAGGCGCAAGGCGCAAGGCGCAGCTGCGTCTGACTTTTGACACGCCTCCTCTTTTTTTTGTCTCATCCCCTTGTCTGTTCCCACACTTCTAAGCATGCACACCGGATGGATCTGATAGGTAACATACACAATAATAGGGATGGTTGGATGATTGGATACTGAAGATGAGAAGAGAGGCAAAAGAGGGGGGGCCGAAAGTATCCATCCCAAACGCCGACCTCCTTATCGAAACGTTCGCTTATTTTGTCTCTCAACTTTCGGAAATAATCTATTTCTGACCGTTCTACGGAGAAGTAAGCCACTCTATAAATCCATCTCCATTCCTCCGGAGCACTCCGTAGTACTGTTAGTTACAATTAATCAATCAATCAATCAACCAAGCCCAGCCGACTCATCCGACCTATCTAACCATGTATCAACTGTAAACCAAGTAATCAATCAATCAAATCAAATCAAATCAACCAACAGAATCAACTTAATCAAAGCGCCACTAAGTACGTAGGTAGTAGCCCACCACCACCCCCTTAGTCGATCGTGGCGTGATGTATGACCCCGATAACCTGACCACACCCCCCTCTCCTCTCTCTCGCCCCCAGCTCGGCACAAAAATGGATACGATATGATATGATATGATATGATGTGAGATGGATATGATATGATCCCAGCAGACTACTACGCTACTACCTAGTACCTACCTAGTTACCTACCAGGCTGGCTTACTTACTTACTTACCTGCCTGTACCGGTAAAGTTCCTAACCGATAACGCTAAAATCGGCAACCTGCGTCGATTTAGCTTTCGACACACCCTTTTCCTTTTCTTTTGCCCATCACCCACACCACCCCCTCATCAACGCGGATTTTAATTTGCCGCCCTACACCGACTCGGGGGTTCCAACGCGCGGAAGTTCCGCAACTGCGGGATAACTTGTTGGTACGTACTTGGGAGGGTATCTAATCAATACTGCATAAGTGTCTGTGTCTGTGTGTATGTGATGGTCGTCATCACATACACTACATACATACATACCTACATACCTACATACATAGTCTACACAACGAATGTGGAAATTCATCGTCGAGTTAGTTTTGCCCTGCGTACGTAATTTAAAATGAAAAAAAAAACCCCCGGATATGGTCGGAAATGAATATTACTCGTCTGGTTCATCGGTCGCCTGAGCGTGTCGCCTACTAGGATGTACACGAATATCACTTTGTCGGTTGTTGCTTTCGAGTTGAAAAGAAGGAAAGAGCGAGCGAGCAAATAATTCGGGCACCCCCCTTCTCGCAAGGTGAGGCTGATTCTGGATCGATCCGTTGATTGATAAGTCGATATCGATTTCTTGGCGGGGCTTGGCAAGGGGCTTGGCGGTTATAGCTGTGGACGGAATTCTTGAACGAGGCGCACGCGCGCGCGGATTTTGACTAGGCAGTCGGAGGGGCTCGGGAGTCGGGCTCGGGAGTAACGGTTTTACGCTACGATTAGGTTGATCTTGCGCGTTGAAATAGTGGAGGATGGGGGAAAGGGGCAATGACAGCTGCAGTGATAGGCTCGCTCTGTGTGAGGTTCTAGTGTCTAGTGTCTGGTCTAGACTAGTTGGTATTGGGTGAGGCATACGACAGGTGGGCTTTTCGTTCCTCGATCGTTGATATGCATTGATAAGTCGACGAGAAAATTTTTTGATCTGATCCAACAGAATATTCCACAAGAGGATGGGGGAAGCGTGTCCTCAACAACCGTGAAAAGAAAAGCCGAATAAAACATAGCCCCGTGACTCGAGTGGGACGGCGCAGAAGTTTACCGCATCCGGAATCGAACACACAACGGCCCCATCTTGATAATCAGTCGACCTGGATAGGGTGAAGAAGGCCCATGTGTAACACTTATCTCCGAGCTGGGGTATCGCCATCTCCGAATTCTGGGACCGGAAGTTCATACCGAACCGGCCGCTCGTGCTTGTTAATGTCAAACGTTCCTATGGAGCAGGTTTGCCCGAGGCGATCTTTGACTTGTTTGAAGCCCACGCCCCCCTTGGTCTGCTTTCTACGAGTGGGGGCGTGGGATGGGGATGGCTTAGTTCTGAACTTGATCGAGCTAGTTCGAGTGATTTGCATGTTGCCTGAGCGGCAAGCCGGATCAGATAACTCTACCCACACATGCTTAGTATGGGACTGTCCGTGGTGGCTGTCGTCGAAGACAAGTCCATGTGTTTCCTTGTCCCACGTTGGGTAGCTTAAGACGGCGGGACGCCGCTGTTGTGGTGCTGTAGCATCGCTAACTAGTACTCGGTTTGTATACTGTAGTGCTTGGCCATGATAGGCGATTCATGTGGTGTGATGTTCGTCTAAACTCCCCATCTACTAACTTACTAGCTGTTATCACGCCACGCGGCCATATCTGGACTGGCGAGTCCACGTCAGACTTCGGCTTAGGATTTATTATATATCATCTACTACTTATTATACAAAACTAATGGGCATGAAACAGCGCCATCCGGTACGAACGGACCACTGGCCCCACAGGACAGCCTAGACCTATAAAATTCTCCAATGCAAACATCCACCATTTGAGAAAAGGAAAAAGATAACGTGATGTAGAATGATTCGGTGTCATCTTCTGGCCGGAAAACCCGGCCCAAACCTGATCCTTTTGTCTTTGCAACCACCATCACGTCAATCATCGCTGAGAATCAATCGTCGCGCTCGTCGATCATCAAACATCGCATAAGAGTTATTTTCGCTTTCCCTGACTCTCACTCGTGCTTCGAACGCCTCGTTTGCAGTCACGGTGGCATGTACTTGTCAGCGAGAGGGATCGCAGACGATAACCAACTCTGAGAACACAAAGGATTATGCGTCATACACCATCACTCCGTTAACAAAGAACAGATTTCACACCGCGTTTAGACCTGCTCGGCGCCCCAACCCTGGTCGTTCTCACGCATGTTGGAAGGGGGCTCGATGGAGGGAATGAACTCCAGGGCAAGGTAGCCCAGGCCGATGAATCCGATGATGGAGCCGGCAATGTACCGCAAAACGTGATCGTGCAGCAGGATACATCCAACGAAGATGTAGACTACGCAAGTGGTCAACTCATTAGCAGGGATCTACGGCGATCACGGATAGTGTGACTTACAAGCACCACGTCCCAGGAAAGAGAAAAGGAAGGACGCGTAGCGGTAAACGTAATCGGGAACGTTGGGCAGGAATTCCAATCCACCGACAACTAAGGCCATGGTGTAAGTATGCTGTCAGATGCGCTATACTGCTGCCTGATCCGAGACTTACTGAGACCAAAGAGAATCACGTAGATGCCGACGATGATGGAGCTCATAGACGGAGGGAAGAACTGCGAGATACCACCGAGAACCATCAACACGCCGACGGCGATGTTAACAATCCGACTGCAGGTGTTGACGTTAGAGCACATTCCACCAAAACTACATGTGATGCGAGGCCATCGTCGACGTACAAGATGTTAGAAAGATCCATTTTGGCAAGTGTTGAGGCCTAAAGAGCTCTTCCTGCTAATATAACCGGTTGTCGAGGTATATATAGGGCGTTTGACGACGAATATTGAGTATCGGAACGGGTAGAGAGGGGAGAACTTCTGTAGATCAACTGCGTTAGCCGGTTCATTCAACAGGATGAGACCAACGCCGGATTGGGCTCCGGCAGGCCAGCCATAACAGCTACGTCAGCTATGGTCGCGCGAGTGACGGCCACTCCAAAGGATTGAGGGCAGCATAACATTGCAGCCAGGGGATGGAAGCTCACCTTGGAAGCCAAGCTTCTTTGACAGATACGAGTTGGAAGGAAGAGGGCGGAAGGGAAATCAAGGAGATGGAGAGGCTCAAGCATCAGTTGTCGCGCTGTCGCAAGCAGCGGGTCTGCCAAGGCGCTGGGTGGATGACTCAGCAGGCCTCGTCTCCGAAGCGCCCGCAAATACGCGAGATGAAAGACCCATTTCAGCTACTATTTCTGGATGTGCGAGGATAACTATTCTACAAAGGAGCCTTTTATGCGGCATTGATGTCAGGAAAAGGGGCTAGATGCACTCAACATTTCATACTATTTTTCTGTTTGTCCCCATTGTCTCTGAAAGACATATGCAGACTTAATTGATCACGAGGGCCACTCATACGTCATATCTGATAGGCAACTACGATCTGTCAAGTATGACAGCTGTTGACTTGACGGGCATTTTTTGCTTCGAACAGATGCCTGACAGACTCCCAACATGTAACAGTGCCAGAAAGCCCTACACTAGCCGTTTAGATCGCCATGAGATCACCTTGCCTCTTCTCCAGTCTCACAGCCGACAATCCATTGGCTAGTCGACTCATATTCATGGAGTCGCGTCCTAAATCGGCGTAGATAGCGTCCAGATCCGTACCAAGACCGACAGTATCAGCAGTTTCCAAACTGCGCCCATCAATGAAAGGTGCAAGGGAAGGCCACACAGCCTGGGCATTGTTGAAAAAGAGATCTACGCCCAGGTCGCCTAGTCCTTTGATCTCCTTGATTAACTTTCTCGTTTCGTCTCGGTCGTTATGGGCTTTCTTCAGGAGATTGTTAAGATCACCATCTGCAATATGCAGTCAGTCACCGGCCAAAATCTTACATGACGCATTCCTGCGGTGAAACACACGTACCGTACTTCTCATTGACGAACTCTGCCAAATCGCCTAGATTCGTTGCACCTTGCTCCCGATAGCGATTATATCCCCCATCCTTGAGAACCATCGTTCTCTCCTCCCAGCTGCTCTCCCCTAGTTTCCGTATATCATGATACCCGACCTCGATAAGCTTATTAACTGCACGCTGCGTCAGGTCGTGCGAGATGGGGCGCGACTTCAGCATCGCGTCCATAACCATAGCAAGTAGAGTGTCCGGAGAGCTCTCCAGACCTTTCTCTGCGATTTCGGTGCCATACAAGGGCGGGCGACCAAATTCCTTGACAACCTTTTGCAGTTTGGGCTTGTTTGATGCACTTTCTGCTGCTTCTTCGTTGTCTTCCTCGCCTTCTGCGTCCTCATCTTCTTCCTCTTCATCACCTTGTTCTTTCACAAGGTCGACGTTCTCGTCATCTGCCTCATTGTAATCTTCCTCTTCATCGAGTTCTTCATTGTCTTCCTCGTCCTCTTCCTCGAAGTCTTCGTCCTTATACCCTGAGTCCTCCTGGATCAAGTCATCTTCTTCGGCAGTGCTTGCAGCTGACTTGGACGCTTTGGTAGGCGGCTGCTCTTTCTCTGCCTCGAGACTTCCTTCACCGGTGTCGACACCAGGGTCTCGCTGATCAAGCTTGCGCTTGGGGGCATCAGCTGCGTCGGTTTCGCTTTCTACCTGGGGCGATTTGTACTTCATCTTGGCGAGAAGCTGCTAGAATTTGAACGAGATGGAATCGGCGTATAATACAATGAGAATTATAATAATATGGAGCAATTGAGTTGAGATCCCGTGAGTTGTTGTAGTAGAAAGTTTTGATTGATAAGTTGCCTGGGGTAGATAGTAAATGGGCTTCTCCGCGGCTATGGCGTCATGATGAATTCAGACGCTATGCCCGTCATTCATGGCTGGAAATTGAAAAGTTCTTGCATGTAACGTACCAGTAACCACAGCGAAAGAACTATGCTTTTAAGGTTAACGTGCCAAACTTTATAGTCTGCCCCAGGATAAAATGCTATGTCTGAGTCTACAGCTTCGCTTTATCCTTGCGGCGCAACGTTTCCTGGACCAGCTTCACAGCATCCTCCGCACATCCAAATGACGCCTGATACCCAAAGCCACCATGACCGTAGTTATGCACAACGGACACACCGTCGACCTTCTCCGCTTCAATACGCGGCCCGCCCTCACGGAGGGGGCGCAATCCAACGCCATGTCTGATTATATCCAGACCTTCGATACCCTGTCCCTTCTCGACCAGCTCCGGGCATAGAGCTATTGCCCGCTTCATGATCCGAACAGCCAAGTTGGGATCAGGCAGCGGATCCCACTGGTTCTTTTGATACGAACCTCCAATGACAGTTCCACCACCCGCTGCACGGGTCATCATGTAAACGACCTCATCCTCGCCATCGTCGGTGCCAGATATAGACACCATCTTACCAGGGTCATTACGCACGACGACAATCTGGCCACGTGCAGGGTAGAGCTTGTCATCGAGCACACCACCCAACTTCTTGGACGAGAGTCCGGTGCAATTGACGACCACATCGGCCTTTTGGCCGGTGTGGTGGCCATTTGCTGCATCTGCTACGTGCTTGAGAACGGCTCGTTTGAAGACGACGCCGTTTTTCCGGCATTGGCCGACTAGCCAGGGTAGGTAGACGGCGGTGTTGATGCACACTGATGTGAATTTAGATGCGTTGTCGATGCCGGGGGCTAGCTGATCGGCGGGGATATCTTGGAACTTGATGAGATTAGGCGAGAGTTTGGTGATAGTGGGAAGATGTGTTTACTCACGTCAGGAACAACTTCCATATACCATGGGTCTTTCTGCACCAATTCAGAGAACCATTCTCCGGTTGCTGATCCCTGATCCTTTGTACGGTTGTAAACAATGGTCTCTGATGGGGTATGCTTAGTAGAGTTCTCTGATGAGAGGCTTGCAGCGTACCTTGGAAATGGATGCCCGCTTCGGGGTGGTTCTTCGTGAGCTCCCTCAGGGTGGGCCAGGTGTTTCGTTCCCATCGCTCATGATCGCTTCCCGCCTTGCCCACACTTTGAGATGAAAAGCACTTGCATTAGTCTTTGATACGGGTAGTGAGATGCACAGCTGAGGGCCTACCCTTGGAGGACATACGGAAGATAGTTGGCGCCAGCCCAGGGAGAAGTATATTCGATGTCGTAGTCACCGGGCATGTGCTTGGCCAGAACAGTAATGCTGTTAGAGGCATCTTGGGAAAGCAGATATGCGGTGGTGAGACCGGAGACACCAGCCCTGGTGATCCTCGAAATCAGCATACGCTGGTGACATGTGAGCTTGCGGGGAAGTAGTTCTTACCCCAGGATTACAATGCGGTTGTTAGCCATCTTGCGTTCGGCAATGAATTAGAGATTCTTGGGGAGACGGTTCGCAAAAGACTCCAATGGCATAGACAGGTTTATAAGCAAGCACTTAGACATGAAGATAAAGAGATAGGAATAAGCATGAGTCAAGCCAAGGGGAGGGGATGTTGAGACACGATCCCCGTCAGTCAAATTAGTTATCGGAGGCCGATCCCGCCATTCTGATAAGACTTCGACTCCTCTTTTTCTGTCTTTTGCTCGGACCTCATTCGGCGATTACAGGTAAGGTACGGGCGGCTTCCGGTAACCACTAATGTATAATCGGTGTATGTACGGTACAAAGTACCTAACGGAACGCGTCCCGACCGCGGCTTACCATACGGACCGGTCGACATAGCCTTGCCCGGCGGTAAGTATAGGGCAGGATCTAGGACCCTGAATAAAATTGTGACTAAATGGGTAAGAAAAGAAAGATGGGACGATGTGCAGAAAGGCTGATCTGCCAAATTTGTTCAGGCCACTTCATCAGGTATGCCTGCATGTGCCGGAGAGATGTACCAGCAAAGCGCCAGGATCTGTCTGGCCTGACCGCTCCCGAACGGACAGATCCATTGTAAGCGCCGAGGCGACGGAGGGGAAAGGTTCTTTCGTCATCGGTGACAACCTCACACCCCCATTGCAGCCAATAACAACTAACATATTAGCTCACCGCCTCGTCCTCGGTAAGGAACGGGGCTGTAAGAGGGTAGGCTTTTTCCTGGTAAGGTAAAGTTAAGTAAGTTGATTCTGTAAGTAAACGGGGTTCCTCCGCACTCTCCGTCCGAACAAGAAAAGTCTCGCCTGTCTCTCTCGCGTGTAGATCGTGTGTTGCTTTTCTCTCCCTCTTTCCTCTCCCCCCCCCAATTTATTCACTCTCTCCCCATTCTACTGCTCCAGAACACTCGGCTGTTCACCTTTAACTATTGTGTGGCTCCCCACTTTTCCTATTGTCCCGCCTCTATTCTCCTCTGCTCGACGAGGCTCTTCTGTGTTCCCCTTGCGCCAAATGAGGGCCGTTCGTCGGGCAGGGCTATACATCAACCATGGCGGACGCTCCAAATGGTGGCAGAATCGTGCCTATAGTCACGACTGCCCGTCAACACTACTCCAGCTCTCCGATAGATGAAACCATGGCCAAAACATCTTCGCAGTCCTCTCAAAAGGCTAAGACGCCTCGCAATGCACGCAACAAGACTGCAGAGGCGGAAACCCTGGAGATTCCTTGCCTCAATGCGCTAGGGCTCTATGCTCTCCCCACTGAGGGTGATGGTAACGTGGTCCCTGCCATTGGGCATCTAGCTTCAATCTAGACCTCAATTGGGTTAGAGAAGCGTGCTCTCCAATCTATCTAACTCTGCATCGTAGGCAACTGCCTTTACTACGCGCTGTCGGATCAGACTTATGGGGATTTCACTCACGCCGACGAAATCCGTGATCGTCTTGCAGACCACATATCCGCCAACAAAGACTACTTCATGAGCTTCATAGCCGCGGCCGGTGGGGAGCGTCGAGCCCCCCGACGAGCTGCCGCTGCAGCCGCCCGCCAATCTTATTGTTCCTCTTCGTCCGCTAGCCCGGCGCCTCCTACAGCCAAGGATAAAGAGCGGAGCTTTGACTCCAAGGTGGCAGAGTCCCGGAAGAAGGGCGTTTGGGGAGGAGCAGAGGAAATCCAAGCTTTCTGCCAGGCCTTCAAGAAGGACGTTCGCGTCTATACCATGTACGGCATTCAGAATTTTCGTGACGTTCACGCCCCTGAAGGAGAGGAACGCGAATTCATTCATATCGCATTCCACGTAAGATACATTGTGCTGAGATATCACTGTACAGTTGTCTAACGGGTTTAGGATTTTCACCACTACTCCTCTGTGCGGCATAACGATGGGCCTCACACCGGTCTGCCTTGTATTCCCACAGTCGGTAAAGAGCAGGAAGCAGAGGCGTCAGCTGCTGAACCCACAGTTGTCGACATGGCTACCCCCTGGAAGATCTCTGCAATTCAGGAGGGTCTGGGGGGTAAGTATGATCAAGGCGCTATAGTAGAAATGCTACAGCAGTGCCGCGGCAATATTGACCGGGCGTTCATGAATCTCCTCGGCGAGGATAGTAATACGTCTCTGGCAGACGCGCCCTCGTCCAAGGCCATCATGAAGTCACGCCTGCAAGCATCCTCAAGATCATCGTCACCTTTCAGCGTCGGCAGCAAACGTTCAGCAGATGAGAGTGACGCTGACGACAACCCTCAGCCAGCTGTCCGACGTACCCGGACTCGCGAGAGTAAAAGGCGTATTCTCCCTGATGTCATGGTCGGGATTGAGTTTAGAGACGATCAGAATGATCTGGTCTCGTTGCGGTTGCGAGTCAGCCCAGACACTGTCGTTCCCAAGCCTGCAGTCCAGCCAAGCACTGAGCAGGCTGAGACCAGCTCTTTCGAGTCTGCAACGGATAGTCCCAGTCTTTTGCCGCAGGACAGGAAGCTCAGAATCCGGTCAAAAACCGTTTCAAGTGAAACTTCTAGCATTCCGAATGAGTCCAGCGATGAGCGAAAGCCACCCCGACGGAGCCAGCGGATTTCCAGGACTCGTCCGGCGCCTAGAAGTGCTTGAAATTGCAACTTGCATCTTCCCTTACTCTCATCTACACTTTATGAGAACATCGATTCCGATTCATCACAATTTCCTCTTATGCATACGACATAACGACTCATCCTTCACCTTCGCTTTATTGCTTTCCTGATCATTGCATTACGAGCGCGTTGGGTGTTGATCATACTTTCCCGCTTTACCATTAGAGCATCTGTCGACATTCACATTTCTCTTCCTTTCATACCACCGGCGACTTGGAGCACTTACGACCCAACCCATTTTCCTCCCGCATATTTTCACCATCTCCAAAGACATAGTCAATGACGACTTTTTGACTTGACTTACACGCGAAGCATACGACACACATACCATCTACATCTTCATGAGGCGTTATTGGACGGTTGCACATTGCATAAATCCCGTGAAATTTCTAACTTGCATACATGCATTGGGTCGGTGCACCTTTCGGAAAAGTTACCTTCTCATCTATTGATTTGGCCTGGCGGTCTTCTGGAGAATACTTTTTACATTCGAATGATTCTGCTGAACATACTGCTGCACGGATTACAATGTCTTTGATAGAAGGAATGTTTGTCTGCCAAACACACTATTTTGCTTCATATCACAGGCTATTGCAGAATAGACTGGTAGAATTCCATTACTTCTTATTCCTGGACTGTTCTGGGGCTAGTTAGCTATTCTACTAGCGATGACTGAGCCGATGAGTCTCATTTGCCACGAAAACAAAGGCACAATACTCGACCATAGCATACTAGTTCCACCTCCAGTACGTAGACTTGTAGACAGTATCAAGTATACCACAACAGAGTCAATCTTTCACATCGTATAGGATACCTGGTAGTAAGCTAACGCTACAAATATTGATTACATACTCACACGAGAAAGAAGAAAAACAAAACCAAAAGTCTCCCCCGTTTTCTGTTGAACATCAAGCAAACAAAATCCAATGCAATCGTCAACAAACGCTACCCAACCCGACAAGGTACCTTAGCCATACAGCCCATACTATACTATACCAACCTACATCTGAAGCCCAAATGAAACCCAATTCACCATACATAATTTCATAACAGACAATTCATCAGGCACCAAACCAAACCCCACCCTCGTCTCTCATTTCCTCTCTCAAACATGCACCCACACACACACACACACACACACACACACACACACACACACACACACACCACCTAGTAATTTCTCCCAACCAACCATTCAATCCTCCTACAATAAACCCCTCCCTCCTCAGTACTCACAGCTACCGATTACACATAATAATTTAATTGTATTTACCCCTCCTTCTTCTCCTCCTCCTCCCCCTCCACTAACTTATCCCCACCACTAGTACTTTAGTGAGAGTGTAGTTTACCGACCGACCAATAACCAGCTACTTATAACAAACCCAACAATCCTTCCTTTTGGCGCCTGACATTTCCTTTTGATATATAGCATATTACAACAAAGACATTCTATCAATTCCTCGATGGTCTAACGGTCATGATTTCCGCTTGTCAATCCCAGTTTGGGAACAAGCGCGGGAGACCTGGGTTCGACTCCCAGTCGGGGAGATTTTTTTGTTTTTTTTTTTTTCTTCCTCTTCTTCTTTTTTTTTCTACCTTGGGGGAAGGAAATCTTATGTTGGGTTTAGTGTGGTGGCTGTTTCAATATTTTGAGGGGGTTCGTACTAGTTCCTTGTGGTATTGGATATGTAGGAGTTGGTTGAGTATTGTTTTGTTTATGAAAAGGGTTAATATGATTGTTTTGAGCGTAGTTGATGGTATTTTGAACAATCATGGGCTGTTAATGAATGCTTAGGTGTAGTAATTTTCTAGTTTGTGTCGCTCGTTGTATGATTAATGTATGTATAGGATAATAGATATCTGTCTATATGTACATGACGGAAATGACACCAGAGTGGGTTGCTTCAAATTCGCTAGTATATGGATAACAAGAAAGGAAAAGGGAGAAAGAGACATGTAATCTGCTTGCTGAGGGTGAGGACATTGCGATACGATGTGATCGTTTGACGGGCGTGAAATCGTGAAGAGATGTGCGCATAACCGTATTGCCTGCAGGTCCATGCTATGGCCTTCTGGCTAACCCCTTATAATCTGTTTCGTGGGGGTGGGCGGCTCTGCTCTTTTGCAGCCGGATGTCTCCAAAGGCCGCGTGCAGGCTCACTCCATTCTGGTGCATATCTGGCGCACACGTGTATCTGATGGAGGACCTATATTCCTTCGAGGTCTCTGGGTGAGAGCCGGGCATCTGGCTCAGAGCAGTGTTTGAGTTGAGTAGTCTAATCTCATGTTCATCCTGTGGCCGCTGAGCTCCGGGTCACCGAAGTCCGAGTAATGGCTGTATTTGGTCGCAGGCGAACGCCAGGTGAATAGCAAAGGTTATAGAGTTCATCCACATAACTGCTGCTAGCCAAGTCACCAGCAACAACGGTGGCGTGCGAAGCATGTTTGGCAGATTCCAGTGATCGCGTAGATAGCTTAGCGACGTCCACCTTGACCTCCTTGCGGACCATGATATCGCCCAACTGCGAAAGCTCCGTCAGCGTTTCCTGCGAGAGATCCCCATGGGCGGGATCCATATGCTTGCGTGGCCAGAGTTTCAGAACAGAACGGATGGAAGGTGTGATGTCGGCTTCCGTAGCGGAGCTGCTGCGTGCATTTGAATAGTACAGTTCCCTGCCCAGTTCTTTTGCAAACCCGTCGCCTCCGATGTTCGTGTCGTTGAGTTGCTGCTGTGCGCGGAAGAGGCGTAGAGGCATGAAGGTAAAGTCTGGGTTTGAGACTTGAGTATCCAGGTTTCCAACAGCGCAGAACGGTAGTAGAATAGAGTTTGACGCATCAGAATCAGATAAAGCCCGGCAGGGGGCAATAAGAGGTTTGGCCGAGAATTTCGAGGCCATGTTGATATCAGGAGGAAGTGCGCTTTGTAGCGATGTCATTGCATGGATCAGTTGCTCGCGGAAGTCATCGATCTCCTTATTTGACTGGGCCGCTTCTGATCTCAGCCAAGACAAGCAGGTCGATATGGTCCATCCTTCCATGTGTGAGATCAAATCGAGGTGGTGAATGTTAATCCGTTTGATCGGTAATGTTGATGAAGGCAATGGGTTACCGGTTCCCTTCGCTGTTAGTACCTCAAAGTGGTCGGAAATAGTAGGGCGCATAACAAAGGAAACGAGGTGGACGCCCGGCTCGTAATTGCGGCCTCCGGTCGCGTAATCTCGCATGTCTTTCAGATGCTCGCCCAACACAGGCAGCGGAATGTGCATTCGGCTCGACAAAGCTGATGTGACGTTCTCGATCGTGGTGAAACGGAAACCTGCGGCGGCCAGTCGATTCGCTTCCTGTTTGTCCAGATGGCGCACTGTGAAAAGCATCTGACCCTTGCTATTGTTCAACCGAGAGTATCCCATTGCCCGAGAGAAGCGCGAAGTGGGAGCAGTCGTAATCAGTACGTCGTCGTATAGCTTTCCAAGCGCCGGCAGAGGCTGTCGAACTTCATCGGCGAGATCCTGAGCGGTAACGCAAAAGTGTCGCTTGAAGAGCTCGTCGAAATCGTTCTGCAGCTCATTCTCCTGATCCAGAGCCTCTCCCTTGGCAAGGAAGTGCTCCGCCGCATCTTTGTCTGTCTCGATCCGACTCCTCATGAAAGGAACGACATCCTTGACCAGATTCCAGTGTCTACTCGCTCGGTATGCCCAAAGGAAAGCGGGATGGCTTCGGGTAAGATCGTCATCGTTGAACGTCTATCGAGTCGTGTGGAAGAATCCTGCATCAGCGCAAGTCGAAAGTGGACTAGCTTGTGAACATACCTTGCCAACATAACGATCGACAATCTTCCGGCTAGGAAGCAGCGCGTGAGGAGTGACCATGATCCGTCCGGACTGGTCAAAGAAGGCACAAGTCAAAACGAGCTGTCGAGCTTGTATGTTCAGCCTTCTCCGGTTTCCACCAGCAACTACGGCGCACGCCGTCAGAACTCCGCAAGCAGCGCATGCCTATAATCCGTTAACATCCGCCAAATTCGGTACCTCCTGGAATTCGACCTACCAGAACAGAACTGATAATGACAACTTGGCTCCGCGAAAGCTGACCATTATGCTTCATGGTTGTGTCATGGTTGTAGTAGTATGTACCAACTGCAGCAGTCCAATGCATGCCAGAGACAGCAAGAGCAAGGACACAGCCGCAAATACCACGTCGCCACCAACTATCTGTCCAAGTGGCCCTCCACCGAAAGAAGACCGTCAACGCAACAGTACTAGCAAACACCGCAATGATGGTGGCACCGATGATGTTTGCAATCCGGTAGCTACAGCGGTAGTTGCTGATACCGAGCTGGCCGATATAATGCATACCACATACTGCACCACCTGTGAGTATACCACCCGTCAGGATTCGGAGATAACTGGCTTTCTCGCTGGCTCCTATGCTGTAGAAGGCAACGAGCAAGACGACAACCGGAAGCACGAAAGATACGCCCGTAAACGTCATGCTATAAATGATCTGAAGCTGCGCATCCCCACTTCCCAAGACAATGGCACGGTTTCCAATGTAATGCATACACCAGATACCGACACCACCCATTGTTATGGAGGAGGTGAGCAATAGATACCTATACTTACGGTCAGACGGATTCTTGTTGTTATCAGACAGTGTGGATATCGTACCAGTTGTACAGACCAGACCTCGATGTCCGTCGGTGCAGAAGCTCCAGAGTGGTTGTACATCCCATCACACTGACTACGTAAGCCAGAAAGATGAACCCTCCCATGTAAGACACATGGACATTGTCCCCGTGGGGAGCCCTGTCCGTGAGCAACATTCTCGGCGTGAGAAGCTTGTTAAAACCAGATATTACCCGCAGGACAGCGGCATGGAGAGGATGATAAAAGATCCCTCACTGCATTTGCAAACATACAACACTGGGGAGGTTACACAGCAGCAGCAGCAGCAACGGGGCGTTGCATGAGGGGGGCAAAAACAGAGTAAGCCTGACAGGAGCAGGCTTAACTAGTATCATGCGGGAATCCTTTCTAATATAACAAATTAACAATGGCATTCAGCTTCCAGGAGCTCCACGCGGCTGGCCCGTACTACGTACTAGCCACGATTCTCCAGGTACCAGATTGACGGACCGTAATGCAATCAAGGACGTTAATTTATCGAGCAGACTAAAATGTGTTATGTCCTAGTGGGAACCGTTTATTGCCCTTGGGTGGCCGCAGACCCTTCATTTTTCACATTGGCTGTACGCGCTCAATTTGTGGACGAGGGCGCCAGAATGAGGGTCTGGCGCTCTTCCAGCGTTCACATTGGGCAATGTAAATTGAAATATCCAGTCTCCTTCCAAAATGTATCAGAGTCTGCTCCGTGTCTGATTGGATCAGAACCATCGATCGAGGTTGAACCAGGAACCATGGGGCATTGAGTTTACTGGATCGGTTCCAGACTTGCAGCCTTGGTTGGCGAGTCAGAAACAGGACTGAAGGGCCGAAGGCTTTGATCAGATTAGTCCAGGAAATTAAAATTCTTCCCATCTGTCAAAGTCGGTTATTACTTGTCGACCAGATGGGTCTACATTTGTGGCTCTCGGCGGATAAGGACCGCTAAAGCCAACCCTGCCGGATGAGGGCCAAGAAGGTTCAGCTGCGCCGTCTGGCTGAACCTTCGCTCTTCTCCGAGAATAAACATGCTTTGCACTATAGGTGAGCCATGCAGGACAATTTCATAGCTCTGGGAAAGGCTATTAGGGAAATTGAAAGATAATTACGTATCAGGATACCAAGCGCCTAAACTTCCCCTAATGGCGAGAAGACCGTCAGCACGTCCTCTGGAACTCCGTCGGCTAAACCATCCTCGAGCCAACAATACGTCACGGGTCCTCAGCTTAGGTAGCAACGATCCAGACTCCAGAGGGGGGCATGTTGGACCGTCAGCACTCAGCAGATGAAACTCAAAGCGGAACCAGACAATTGGTACACTCAAAGTTGAGATTTTCGATGGGATCAAAAGAGCAGAATTTCGCCAATTGCCAGCATCCACGCGGTTGACAAAGACCCTGAGTGGTCAATGGATGCAGTGGCGGGCTTAGCTCGGGGCACGTCCAACGGGAATCATGTGGTTCACAGGCGTGGGTAAGACAATCAATCTCTCGCAGTGGAACTGAGAAGGGCGAGCTGGAATCCGCCGGATGGGACCAAATGGAGACGAGAGACCATCGGTAGCACGTTTGAAACCTGAGTCTTGGACCGTTGGATAAGCTGAACGTGGCCGAGTGGGAAAGAAGAGAGGGGGAGGATCCAGACAGAGGGGTCAGAGATGCACTCCCGTTGGACCATCACGCGCTCACTAGTCCTGTTCAGGGTTAGGCTGCTGCCCCGTGACTCAAGATCGTGGGTTCCATCTCTCGATTGGCTAATCCTGATCTGGCTAGCTGGCCGAGCATGATTCCGCTAGTCTGTTTGTGGTCACCACCCACACACGCTGAGAGATCCTCTTCTGTAAATTCTGTAAGCGATGCCATCTCGTCTCTGGCACTCTAATCAATATATGCAAGTCGGGCCGAGGAAGAAACTGGGAAGTGTCAAACTCTAAAGGATGTATTTCCTCTTTTTTAGGGCCAAATTTCTTGGTAGGATACTATGAAGTTAAACGGACGGAGTGCCCAACCCTTTCAGGTCAACAATGATGCGAGATACTACCTAGTTTTAGTCCAGGCTAAACTCTAAGAGAGTCGGTAGAAGTAGTAGGTAAGGTACTTTTGCCTCCGTGGAAATAGCAACAAAACAATATGGATCCAGCTTGTGAGCGTCTTATCCCGTCAGCAGCAGCAGCAGCAGCAGCAGCAAGAGATTCGCAACAACCAATTGATTGTCCGCCAAATCCTTCCGGTAAACCCCTGCCGGATATTCCCCCTACTAACCTTACTGCGTAAGCGTCAGAACTCGATGACGATTCGCCCCTTGTGTTGACTATCTACTTAGTATACATCAGGATGAGTATCTGTTCTCAGGATTTTCAACGCAGATTTTCTTTACAACCAAGCCAGAAATCAAAAGCCCACTTAAGTTCGGATTATGCGGAAGTAAATTATCCTCCCGGACGACCCGCGAAGAAAAAATAAAAGAGAGAACCAAACTATCAAGTGATTGATAACCATGGAAGGGAATGTTTCCAATTCCATAACCATTCCATAGGAACCGCCCTGACCCACTGTAAGCATATCAACACAGAACACACAGTAGCACAAGCATGAGCCTGCAGGCATCCAGATAAATGAATTCGTCACCCTTTTCCGGCTTGTTGCTGACAGCACTGGCGTTGCCGCCCAAGTGATCAGATCCTTTCACTCCTCCATCGCCTTTGTAGACTTCCTATTGAGGTATCCAGGAAGATCCTCCATCCTTCTACGGCCCCCAAGAATCATATTCAGGATGCGGACCGCCGGAAACAGCCCCATACCACAAATATCCTTTTCTCTCCACGATCAACACACGCTTCGATCATGCAATTCTGCGTATTCCGGAGTACCTCGGTCTCCCTCCTATGCGGTACAGCCGAACTGCAACTGGGCTAGCCAGGTCCATGACTAGATTAATTCATATGGCAGCCAATATCACCTAATTAAATCATCGGGCACGGGCCTCACTAGAGCTCTTTTCTGTTGCATAATAGGGTGTAGCCGGGGTGTGTATTCCGCAGTTTCAGGGGATAAACAATAGAGAAGAAGCACAACAGTCCAGCACCGCATAACCCAGGAGGGCAGTGAAGATGTAGTCATTAGAAAGGTGGCTGTGCGCACAGTGCAGGTGTAGCTGAAAGATGGAGCCGTGAGCCGTGTCATGGTGGTACTCTGGCCCACTCCCCTGGGAATCCTTTGGTGTGCCGAAAGATGTCCGTACTCGGACGGGGCTAATGCGGTAGTCAAGCCTGATAAGGTAGATTATGTAGTAATCTTCGCAGAGTTCTGGTCAGGAGTGTTTCCGATAGCAAAGGAGGTGGGAAGATAATATTTTCCCGCGTAAATGAGAAAATGGATAGTATTTTCCGTAGACCACACCCACTTATGACATCTGCACGTGTTAATCGCCTTGTCAATGCGTCTAGCCGGTACCTTGCATGAAATCTCCGCATTGACTATTTGCATCCTTGAATAAGCTTCTGATATATCCCAAACTCCATCGCTATAATATAGTACTATCTGTGTAATATATGTGGTACCCCCAGTCGATAATAATATGGTTCTTGGATCCGGACTTGACCAAATGTTTGGGAGACGTGCGACTGACTCGAAGACCCAGTTTTTGATCAGACCGCCTCTTTGGGTATGATTAAACTGGGGAGGCCAGTTTCAAGTGCCAGCTGTCTTATCTAATTATATTCAATCGGGGGCTGCTCAGTACCTACTAAAAGACAGTGGAGTCGTCTTACTCCGAGTATTGCGTGGATGTAGAGCTTGGTGGTCATTACCTAGCTTGACTGTTCTTGGTAGGTAACAACAATGTTAGTGTGAAAGATACAAGCTTCGGTTTTCATTGTCAACAATAGACAAAGGTGTAGGTACCATCTTATCAACGGTCGGGTTTGACACCTCCTAGCTCATCGGTGTACACGCACTTAGAAACATACTTGTCGACACTATGCTACTCCTCTCCCCACTGATATAAACGCTTTCCTGGAAGTGAGGTGAGATAATAATACCTCTGATAAGAGCATCATCTACGCTACGCCCATTGAAAGATAGTTGCGACCATATCGCTAGTATATGACGCCACAAGTAGATATAGCGTGTTTAATGCTTATCATTTGGGGGTATGTCAAAATTTCTCTGAGGACATACTCTACCTGACCTGGATTATTACTCATCGAGATCTATCTGCAGCCACCTTCCTAGAGATCCATATCTTATCAAACTCACACGTTTACTACTAACTGCCTCATTAGGTTCTATACACATCTTGTCATCGATGTTGAAGCTGCCATTTGCTGTATCAAAAGCCAAGAACAGCAATGAGGAAGGACTTAGCGACCATCTCCTCCACCAGTAAGGTCCGGAAATCTGTAGAAAAGTTTGCCGGGCAGAGTAATAACAATTGTGCAACTTAGAGGGGGTGAATCACCCGGATGATGAAACATAGTACAAAGTGTATCCTCGTTTAGAAATCCGTGGTCACTATGATCACTTCCGGTTGAGCTTCGATCGTATGCGACTCTTTGTCAAGTCTTACGCGCCCGAGGGAGAAAATGTCTACACCATGCGCCGCTACACTGCTGACATGTTACTATCTATCTCGAAGGTTTTCTCCTCTCGGTCTAGTATTCATACCTCTGTTCATATTCGAGACAAAAAATAAAAGGACGTAAGATTCTATGTGAGCAGCATGGATCCAAGGAAGGGGAACTGCTATAGACCTGCGGCCCATTGGCACAGAGTTCTAAGCGTCCTTATCAAGTTGCGACGTACCAACTAGAGTAAAGGCACCATTCGGACGAATGGGTATTCTCTCTATATATATACGGTTAGGTATCTATTCAATTCAACTGTTTGTTATAAATCAGACCCGTCATTTCTCGCCACCCCACTTTTCCTATACCAGCCCTCACCAAATTCAGAAACTTGTTTTTGGCAGAGTATCCCTTTGGACTGGAGCTGACACCTCCTGCTTTACTCCTGCTGCAGTAGTGCTCTGGCTAGCAGCCGTTCTATTTCTGTTGAAGCACTGGAGAACGTCCATGAGGTTGGAACAAGCAGAGCCACCAAAATTCCGGGAGTGTTGCTGACGAATGCGTGAATTGTGCTCTATAATCTCAATTAGCTACTGTAACTTCGAAACTTTCAAATCATGTCGTGTCGTCTGCCGATAATGGTCTCGGGTCGCTTCAGAGAGGGTTCTCATTTCAGAGTTGTCCATCACAGAGAAACTCACAGCATTCCAGCGCAGTCCTTGCGCAAAACAACCTGGCCGTTTTCATCAAAGTCTTGTCAATTGGGCGAGCATACGATACACGCGCCAATCTGTTAAAACCGGATTGTTCCGATTGAAGCCTGCAGAAGTTAACAGTACCACTAACGTTATTGCTGTTGTTCACCAGGTCCATAAACAACAGTTCGCAACCAGATTCACGGTATGGACTCTCCAATTCAGTACTTGTCGAGACAACTAGGGTCGTAAAATAGAGTAAAAGTCAATGTTCACTAGGGAATTAAGCACTCTACAGCAACGGTAGATCTCTGGGAAGAAATGAAAAAGTCCAAATTATGAAGCCCAAGTAGCTCAAATCTGGCAGATCACATCTTCTCTGGGACTTCCGATAGATATTTACGCTTTTTGGGAAGGCGAGAATAGGACGGTACCGGATCAGGAGAAGGATGTTTCCGGAGTTCAGTTCCACGGTCAGGCAGTAGTCGCATACTCTCCAAACATTTTATGGAGTAAGTAGCTTGGAGGGTGGTTCCGCACATACCCCCTTGGGCATTGACATCAGCTCCACGGTCAAGTAGTAGTTGCACAATCTTCTCATGTTTCTGAGTGTAAGCAGCTTGGAGAGCACTCCCGCATATACCTCTTTGGGCATTAACATCAGCTCCACAGTCAAGTAGTAATTGCACAATCTTCTCATGTCCCATGGTGCAAGCAGCTTGGAGGGCATTGTTATATATACCCCCTTGGGCATTGACATCAGCTCCGCGGTCAAGTAGTAGTTGCACAATCTTTTCATGTTCATGAGCACAAGCAGCTTGGAGAGCATTCCCGTACCTGCCCCCTTGGGCATTGACATCAGCTCCATGGTCAAGTAGTAGTTGCACAATCTTCTCATGTTTCTGAGCGCAAGCAGCTTGGAGAGCATTCCCGTACGGGCCCCCTTGAGCATTGACCTTAGCTCCACGGAGCAGTAGTCGCACAATCCTCTCATCTCTGTTCCAGTAGGTGATGTGGAGGGCGGTTCCGCTGTCCATGTTACTTCGGGCATTAACATCAGCTCCATGGTCAAGCAGTAATTGCACAATCTTCTTATATCTTTTAGAGCAAGCAGCTTGGCCCCTGGGGTTCTCATACCAGCACGCCTGGGCATTGACATCAGCTCCACGGTCAAGCAGTAGTTGCACAATCTTCTCATCTCTCTTGCAGTAAGCGATGTGGAGGGTGGTTCCGCCGTCTGTGTTACTTCGGGCATTAACATCAGCTCCATGGTCAAGCAGTAATTGCATAATCTTCTTATGTCTTTCAGAGCAAGCAGCTTGGAGGGCGTTCTCATACCAGCCCACCTGGGCATTGACATCAGCTCCACGGTCAAGCAGTAGTTGCACAATCTTCTCATGTCCCATAGTGCAAGCAGCTTGGAGGGCGTTCCCATTCCAGCCTGCCTGGGCATTGATATCAGCTCCATGGTCAAGCAGTAGTTGCACAATCTTCTCATGTCCCATGGTGCAAGCAGCTTGGAGGGCGTTCCCATACCAGCCCGCCTGGACATTGACATCAGCTCCACGGTCAAGCAGTAGTTGCACAATCTTCTCATGTCCTATGGTGCAAGTAGCTTGGAAGGCGTTCCCATTCCAGCCTGCCTGGGCATTAATATCAGCTCCGGCCTCTACCAGCATCACAATAATATTGCAGTGTCCTCGACGCGCGGCTGCTATTAGGGCAATGTGAAGTATTGTCCCCCAATCACTGGTCCCCCACACAGCAGCCTGACTCACATTTCGGTAATGTGTTTTGGGCTGGTACGGAATCGATGCCTTAGCACTCTCAGTGGTAGTATCGATTGTGGCCTTCAACGCTAAGAGCTTACTCAGGTTATTGGCATTCCCTCGAAACGAAGCCGTAACTAAGGCCGTTCCGTAATCGTGGAGATCAATGGGCGTAGACGTATGATGGGAGATGCTGGCACCATGCCCCAGTAGCATCTGCATAATTTCAACGTGTCCCTCAGCAGCAGCGGCAAGGAGGGCATCTCCATATTGCTTGCCGGTCGAACTGACGTTAGCTCCATACTCCAAGAGTTGTAACACAATATCAACGTATCCCTTTGCGGCAGCGACATATAATGGGCTGCCAAAAAGTCCCTGGGTGTTGATGTTCGCGCCCCATTGTAGAAGTATAGACACAACCTCTCCATATCCTTCCGCGCAAGCTGCCTGTAGGGCATTCCCGCACAAGCCACCTTCAGCATTGACATCCGCACCGTGCTCTAGAAGCATTCTGGCAATGGCTCTATGGCCTTTGGATGAGGCCGCATATAAAGAATGACTGAGCTCCCTCCCTGGAAACTCAACCTGTACAATGTCGTGGCGAGAACTCGATGACGAGAGATGTAGTGTCTCTTTATAAAGTTGATGTCTCTCTATAATCTTACAGATTTCCTCGTGGCTTTGCCCAAAGGCCGTCCGCTTCACGTTGTTGTATCCTTTACATCTCGCATTGGCATCTGCACCCCAGTCCAAGAGCATGCGCACAACCTTTTCGTGGCCCTTTAAGGAAGCTGCATAAAGAGCGTTTCCTAACCGACCACCCTGTGCATTGACATTACTGCCTGCCTGCAAGAAGAATTTGACGACATCAATGTGTCCGTTTCGAGAGGCCCAAATCAATCCACTGGATCCTGTCGAGTCAATTCCTTCAAGAGCATTCTGATTGGACGTAATCAGTTTTCGAGCAATTTGTTCATGTCCATTAAATGCTGCCAGGTGAATTGCAGTTATCGTGGGTTTTTCATGATTGCGCATCGCACTTTTCCAGAATATAGGAAACCAAATGGCGAAATTCATTGTAGACATGTCATAAATATGATCCAATAGACTTCCTGCTTCGGTGTGAAAGGCAGGAGGGGCATTTCGTACATGATATGCCCAGTGCTCTGCAGCATATGCCAGTAGACTTTGAACATTGACTCTGTGAGAACCAGTGCCCTGTAGGTCACCAGACAGCAAATATCTGACACAGATTTCCGATAGTTGATGGTGAGCATCTCTTATACAAAAAGAGTATGGGGAGCCTGTGACCCCTCCATTATCCCTTTCGATGAGGAACTCTTTGGCTGTCTGATGGACAAGGTATACTCTTGAACTTTGCACGAAGACAAATAGTCCACAAAGCCTGCGTATCTTTTGTCCTAGTCCCATTGGGTCTAAGCTGGCATCTTCTGCCCGTCCGCACTTTGGTGAAATGGCCACGCCCAACGCCATAGCCATTTCTTCAATGCTTAATGGGCGACAGGCGCCGACGATGATCATCAGAATTTTCTTTACCGTAGCAATTTGGCCAGGAGGAACGCGGGCTAGAATTTTCTGATATGCTGCAGTCACAGAGGGAGGCAACAATCGAATCGTCTCTTCATCTGGTCGAAGGCTATCTCGAAACGTATCGTGTACGTCACTGATGGCCAGGTGTAGCCAAAGGTAGGTTCGATGTTCCATCCCAAGAAGCTGTTGCTCGAGCTTTTTCTGCATGCTACGTGACAACTCCAAAGCTTCTGCCAGCTCTTGAACTTTTAATTTGATAACATGATCGATTTCACCACGAATCTTGATATTCTCATCCTCGCCTCGCAACCGGATGTGTGGTGTTATATTGGTAATGCCGCGAAAGCTGGTTTGGATGTCATCGTAGGGACGGCTCGTGACCAGGAACTTGATCCAGGCTGTAGGATTTGCAATAGTCGACCGACGGAGGTCTTCGAGTTTGGCTATTAGATGTTCCCGATGAGACGTATGGCATTCATCGAGGGCGTCGAAGACACAGATGGTGTTTTGAAAGGCAGGGTCTGATGCAGCCGACATTAACACCCGCCAAAGCTCATCAACCTCGTGTTGAAGTTTATTTCCATTTCGTTCCCAAGAAGGTATTGCAAGCCTTACCAACTGTGGTTGCTGGCTGAAGAGCTGATGGAGAACTGCACAGAGTGCTGTGGCCAGACTGTTTTGTTCTTTATTGTCCTTGAAGAAAAAGTAACAGACGGAACCCTTTGACGTAAATTCTTTGAAGTCAATGTCGATCAGTGACCTGGCTAGAACTGATTTCCCGCAACCAGGGTCGGCTGATATCCAGAGGAGATCATGTGTACAATTATCCCACCAGTGGAGATATTGCGCATTTTGTGTGACCCACTGACATGTGCCCGGTACTCGGCGAGGGTTGATGTTCTTTTGCTCCTCATAGTTCGATATTTTGAATACTTGGTGACATTGCCGCTGCTGCTCAGTAAAAACCGCAGCCTTCTGTTCTTGGTTTTGAATTTCTTGTTGCTTGTAGATCTTTTCCAAACGTTGGTTGGTGCCTTTGATTTCTTCTCTCAACCCGCCTACGGTCTTTAAGTCACTCTCTTTAGATATATGGAGCAATCGGTTTACTTACTACATACATCCACAACCAAGCTCTCTCGGGAAACCTGGCCGACCGGTATATAGCCCAGGAGCTCCTTCGTATATGATGCTGCGGCCAATGCTGCATATCCTTGCCATTGTTCGTTCTTGTGCGAATCGGCGTAGTCACAGATTCCACGAATGACGAGACAGGGGAAGTCCATCATTAATCCAGCAGCCTCCATCTCAAAACATAGTGCGCCAGTATCAAGTCTTAGCTTCTCCCGAGTCGTTCCATGTTTCATAACGACATTGCCAGACGCAATAGTTCCGTAGTGTAATTGTGGGTTACTGCTTTCCCGTTCCGTCCTTGTCTCTTCCCACTCCGCTGGGCACCTATCACAACTGTCTTCAGTTGCTGGATGTTCGTATTTTGAGTGGAATAGTCGATCTTGCTGTGTATTCGGTCTACCGAAGCTTTGCCGGGTTCGTGCCGTTCTTCCAGTCGCGCGGTGAATGTATTCTGGAAAGCGAGGTTCATCCGTAAGCTCAGCAGCTTTCATTGCGTTCACAGCCATTAACAGAGTCCTCGGGGGACTATTCAATGACCCGACTCGATGAAATTCTCCATCTGCACCGATTCTACCCATATCATACTGTATAACCCCCCCAGAAGTGCCTTCCGGGCAACTGATGACAACATCACCCAGTCGTATATCATGAGTAGCCGACGGAATCCCGCCACCAACCCCGACAATTAAGCCGATGCGAAGTGATTTCGAGAATGTGCGGGTCATGTTGTTTGCGACCGTGGCAGCTGAGATGGTCCCATATTGCCCCGCAGGGAGGCAGGCGATCACAACGTTGTGTTGCCCAATTCGGCCCAGCGTGTAGATATTTGGGTCTGATGGATCTTGCATGCCAAGCAGACCGAAACTTTCATCCAGCATCTCTTTAGCTGCGGCAGCCTCGATCGGTAAGGCGCATATCCAACCGATTTGGAAATCCTCGAGTTGGGGGGTGGACATCTTCGCGATCTAGTCTGCCAACATAAGCCCTGATTGGGTATGGACGCGTGATGTAGAATAGAAGAACTGAATAGTTGTAGGGGGATTGATGTATTCTCGACGATATTTCGATGAGAGAGAAGATGAGTGCACCAACACCAGGAAAGACACCAGTTTTAGCCGCAATCGCTCAGCCTCGAAGGGGAGCTGAAAACGCACAGCATCGGGCGGTAAAAGGTAAATTGTTATTGGTGACGCCTGCTAAACACCGCATGCATGACATGCTCTCCACGGACGATCGAGAGGTAATACGCAATGTGATTGATCATCCGGTCTGTTACTAAGCTGTTTCTCGTACAAATAGACCTACGGGACACGACACTAGCAGAGACAAAGGCCCTCCAGGCTGAGGGCCCATGCTACCAATTAGGAGCATAATGTGACTGCCTTGCGACGTCACTTGTTCGATATCCATTCTTAGTGGTCAAGAAGAAACCGCGATACCAAATTCGTGAAGCTGATAAGCGCGCCCATAGCTGCGCATCTTAGTAGGACACCTGGTAATCTATGCCGTCGACGTTGACTTGTGCAATACTATTACCGGTGTGAAGGCCCGGGGACTGTGTCAATATCCTGCGCCACACATATTAGAAGAGGCATCTACACCTTGTATGAAACCTGTATGGTACAGATTAACATGACAGTGCGCACTCTTGTCCATTTGACCGGCTAGGTGTTGTAACATAGTAAGATGCGCCACTCGCAACCGAATCCTGGATGTCTGGTGATCTGACCGTCCCTCCTCATTTTTGCTCTGTTCCATTGATAGCTACGGAGTAGGCTGTTTAAGTTGTATCTGACTGGGTAAGACCGGCCAGACACTGGTTATTAATCTTGTCCATGTTCAGCTTTTTATATAATGTATTTAGTGGAATTCTGTTTTCGTGTGAAGTCTAGTATACACACTGTGTTGGTTGAAGGCAGGAATTACCCATTTCTCTGTACTAGTTTTCTTACTTTCCATCCGCGGCCTGGTATTACTATTGAAGTAATAGATATGGCATGCAGGCTGCAAGCTAAAGACCAGCTAGTATTATACGGCAACGCTGGGTGATTGGTGAGACAGGACGACATCTTGGTCCGTACAAAAATGTCTACGATTCCTTTCCATGGAAAAAGAGATACATGCCACATATTGGAAGGAGCTGTTCGGTGTTTGAAATCCTCCCTCCCAGTCTATAAACTGCTGGGCTTTGTACCGTGCGAATCTCATTTTGACTTGCAAAAGAGTACTGTGTTTGTATGGTGCTTGTCTTAAAGAGCCTATGAATGGCTCTCTTTGAAAGGTAGTGTAGCTTGTCGGGCTAGATGATGTCTTTTATGTAGAGCGCTATCTCTGGGATCTTCATGTTGTGCTTGTCGTGCATGACGCAGTTGGTTACCGGGAGAATGATTGTGAGTTTGGTAGAGATGTAATTATAATCTTCTCTCAGACTGAAATAGAAGGTTGCTTGAATATTGAAGGTCCGCCTCCGTAACAGTCGTCGTGAAAAGAATGTGATGTTGATTGGAGCCTCTGTAGCTGGGCTTCCTAATCTCATGTAGCTTTGTCCCACAAGGGCGGGGCAGGCCCTCAGCTTGAAAGTCTCGTTGATGCATTTATCAGTTTTGAAATTTGTGTCTAAAGTATGTCTTCGTGGCTTCCACGGAATGGGATTCTACCAGGTTTTTGGTGGAAGTCGGGCTAAGTGATGCTGCTATAATATCAGAAGTTTCCCGCGAAATCTGATTCATATTGGACATTCTGTGCTTTGTACCAAGAGATCTATGGACATTGTGTATTGTGGCAAATTTCGAATATCCGGCCATTATAAGGATCTGACGGAGGAAGAAACAAAACCGCTGCTTATCAAGTGCCATGTCTTGAAGGGTCTTGCGCGGTGATATTCTTAGAAATGGGTTGGTTTAAAGTGTTGTCTTTCCAGAGAAGCGGAATCTCTGTGTATTATCTACTACAGAGATTGAATTAAGCCAAATCCCCTATTGACTTAATGCCAAAAACCGCTTCATTGTGTAGAGCAATCGTAAGAAGAAAGATACCTGGGGCAAACTACAGTTGATTATAGTCTAGAATTCTAATTCCAAACCTGACAACCGATCAGTAGTCTTTGAGTCATCCTCAAGGCGGTCATTTTTGCCCCTGATTCTTCTTCCTCGTGGGCTCGTGATATATAACCGGAAGCAAGACGACGCTCACGGTGTTTCTTGCGGGCATCTTCACTCTTTAAAAGTTCCTTCTACCCATAGTCAATGAAGAAATCAAAATGCAAATAGTAAAAAAGCAGATATATATATATATATATATATGAGACAGATTGAGAAGACAAAAGAAACAAGATATCAGTTACTTGATAAAAGCATAGCAAAAACATCCTTCTTATATCTTGTCCAGAGCTATTATAAATAGCCTTGATTAAATGCCTGGAGAATTTTACCACCGGAAAGTCTTGGAACAACCATCAGAATTATGATTATGTCAAATGGAGCATATAGGTTAGAGAAGATGAGCATTATAGAAATAATCACTTAGGATTATTATCAAGCTAATAGTACAGAATATTAAGTTATAAGCGGCTCAGGGAATATATGCCTGTTGACTGATCCCGTCCTGAGTAGGCCCTGAGTGCTCACTGAGCCTTGACCGGTGATGAGAAATACTCAGTGAGCGACCCCCTGAGCCCCCTCATTTGAGCGGCCCCATCCAGATAGGAAAGGTTACGTTGATTCTAGAAAATCAAGTCTGTAGAGTTACATCATATAAATATAATTTTCTACCTTGGGAAAGCGAGGCCTACTCGAAGTTCAGATGTATTGTAAGCTGTCTCCAACTCTGGTCTGTTTAGACAAAGCATTTGTCATAACTCAGCTAATCATATACGACAGTATGTCCGTAAACACAATTGTTAGTATATTCCTCAGGGAATTTGGAGACTTAGGATGATAATCCGGCTCACTTCGAATACGGCATTTAAGCTATAATATGAGATGGTATATGTCACAGGGGTAATGATATCTAATAAGACTGTGCGTCATCCAGTTACCATATGAAGATCCACGAGTATCGAAATTCGTAGTGATGCTATCAATTCCATTTTTTTTTTACAGCAGGCATAGTATCGTCTCAATATATTTGGTTATGTTGTGGATAGCAACGCATTTCCTTTACATCGTATCGAAGCTCATTTCCTTTGAATACTACGTCTTACTACTACACTTGGAGACAAATAGTAGATGACAGTCTTGCATTATGCCTAGGCTAATTAGCGCCTGGATGGTTCTATACTGTAGGTCAATATACGGAGATCCAGCAGCTGGGCAATGTTAATGTGAGTTTTTGGTGATCCTCTTTGAACAAAACAATGTAGTGGCATCTATCTGCTTTGGAGACTATCTCACTTCGATATGTTGCTGCTACTCGTTGTCTGGTTGCTTGAGGTAGTTATTTAGTTTAACATCAATTAGGAGATGCAGGACAGACTGGATATTTCTGGGTCCGCCGATTGTAGTGTAGGTTATGCATCGTCAGTAGATCTAGTATAAGTGGCAAGATACAGGGATTTTAAGTCGTCGGAGTTGGACTTGCTTACTGGGATGTCTATTCAGAGTGTAATATGTCAGGCAAGCCTGATGTCATCTTACACTAGCGTATGATGCGCTTCAATGAAAACAAATAACCCAAGTACCTGCATAGTGATGAAGGTCTTAATACAACTGCTACTATGGTCCAGGAATACGGTCATGACTACATCTACAACAAATATTACCATCGACTCATATAGATCGTCTGGTGTGTGTGTGCGGGGTAAGAAGCCCATCAATTAGATTTCATCTGTAACTAGCATAACCATCAAGGTATCCCCTCATTATCGTCTATAAACGGGGAATTTATGCAAGCAGAGCCTTGATCTTCTCCTCCAGACCCTTGGGGTTGGCACCGGTGAGGTCGTCGAACTTCTGGCCGTTCTTGAAGAGAAGGAAAGTGGGCATGGCACGGATACCGAGCTCGGCAGCAACCTCGGACAGTTCGTCGACGTCGATCTTGTAGAACTTGGCGTTGGGGTACTCGTTGCTGAACTGCTCGACCTTGGGGGAGATGGCCTTGCAAGGACCGCACCAGGTAGCGAAGCAGTCAACGACGACGGGGCCGGTGGACTCGCCAAGGACCTTCTCGTTGAATTCGGCCTTACTGCAGCAGAGACAGTTGAGTTAGTAAGGTCTCAGAAAGGATGAACGGGTAAGGCGTGGGGAGAAGGAGGGCGGGGATGTCTGCTGGCGAGACCATAACTTCAAGGAGAAAAGGAGAGGGATTGCACATACGATGTGATGTCCTGAACTTTGTGAGACATGTTGGAGGATGTGTGAGAGAAAGCGCGACGGCTGTGGATAAACGGAGTTGAACGGAGGAAAGAGGGCGCTACTGCGGTTCTAGTGGAAGACTGGATAGAGAATCTAGCGGAGGAGGAAGAGAGAAGGCGTCGGGAGGCCAGAGTGGATGGTTTAAAACTATGGGAAGGTTGAGACGATGATTAGCTCCGAATGAGGGGCAGCCCAGCAACGGAGGGGCACAAATCGATTTTGTAGTGGAGAGTTGAGTGGCTGACACACAACCCCGAACAGTGACGTTGCACCGCCTTCTGACTAATCACTCGGGGCGTCGAAGCCTCTCGGTCACAGTCGAAGGCCAGGGTCGCTTCTGGGCAATATGGGCTTACCAAGAGACACCTCGAGAAAGACGAAGGCGCGATTGATTTGTCAGGCTAACAGCAGACATTCTGACTGCAATTGTGAATAGTAATAGGCAAATATATGAAATGATATAATCAACAGTAAATTACGGGCCGGTTGGGCAACTTGGTTGGTGGAAGAGAAAGGGGAAGGAGATGCACGAAACGTAACGGTGAAGGAAGAAACCAAAGGCAAATGACGTGCTCCCGTCGCTTATGAATCGCGACCGGTCTGGACAGGCGCTGGTGGCCTGAGGCAGCAGAAGCAACAGCCGCCATCGGCGAGTCTCTCCAATCACCTGATCTGAGTGCGGAATAGCATGGCAGTATCGTTCATGGGTCACAACATGGGGTAGTTTATTGTCGAGGGTGTGGGAAATTCCCTCTGGTGATATTTACAGGCAATGGGCAAGCGGGCCAAGCTGTCATCCATCTCTCGAAAGACAACGAGCCGCAATACTCGAGCATATAGTACAGTCAAGACATTAAACAATAGCACGGGTAGTAATCGTAATAAGGAAAGATGAACAGGTAGAACTTGTGTCACAATATGTGCATTGAAATAAAGAACGAGAATGCTTCGAGTCTATCAAAAACGCGTAAGTGCCCGCGATCACCACAAGACAGTGATCGGGGCAAACTCATTCAAACTTCCGCTGATGTGGGGGTATCAACAAATTCGAGAACTAACAATGCCCACCGACAAGACAAGAGCACGGACAAGACCTGTGCTTGACCCGGTGAGAGCGTTGGAGAAATATAAGCATGGCTACATCCAGCGCCATGAACCCTGAGGAAATCCGCCGGGGAAGTGTGAGGGGAAGGTGAGGGGGGGATCTGGAAGGAAAAGGAGCGACATAGGAAAGGTTTTAACGAGCGACTGGGGTATATACGGGAAATATTAGATAAATGCACCATGTTGACATCAAAGAAATCTCAACACGCGCAAATTATTCCTCATGGTAGCAAGGGCGTCACTAGGATCTACCTTGGTTGATCCAAGCAACGTTGCGCACAAGGTTGTCCGCTGGCGACCGGGCTCAATTTGGGCGCCCATTTGCGTGGTGGTCCGACGTTTCGAGCTCGAACTCGGCAGAATGCTCTTCGATGGGGCTGAACTCTTCTTCGGCACAGAACGACTGGACATTCTTCAGGAGTCCTTCGTTGGACTTTGGACGGATCGCTGGTGTCACAAGTACAGGTCGCCGGGCGATTTGATCATGCCAGGTCTCCTCGGCTTGCTCTGGTACGCTATCCATAGGCGTATCCTTGTCAGGTGACGCACCAGCTACATCAGGACCAGATTTGGGACTCTCATCCTGGTTGGTCCCAAATCTGACAAGAGGTTCGCTAACTGGGGCCTCATCTCCATGGGAGGATCCCTCACGGCCCTCTTCCATGATGTTTCGCGATGAACTGAGGCTGGTGCGCAGTGGATTGCTCGCCTTTTTCTGAGATATGCGGCGTAGAAATTGTCCCGACATCCATGACCCTTCGGAGTCAATCGATGCTAACGATTGGGACAAAGGAAGATTATCCGGGTCACCTTCCCAGCTTTCGCCTGTCCAAGAATGGTGAGGATTTCTCGGGATGTCCTGTGGTTCTGATCCAGAACTGGGGATGGGATACTGGGTCCCCATGTTGATATCTGACATCTCGTCTTCTCTCTCAAACTCATCCAACACCTCTGGAATATCGGGTGATTGAAGCCGTGAGTCAGGTGGAGAAAGGGGCTCGTCACCGAAATGTTCGGTAAACTTAGACTGCGACCGCTTGATGGTACCTGACCCTAGGAATGTCCGAGGAGCAGCAACGAATGAAGGAGGTGGTCCAGACGATTGCGTCTGAACCTTGAAGAAAGATTCATGAGACGGATTCGAGTGCTCAGGGCTGCGTTCATGGAAACGTTCACGATAGCTGCGTTTAAGCCGCGAGCTACCCCGTCTGAAAATGGAAGTAAGCGTATTAACACGTCCGCTACCGTGGTCAGACAAGCGCCGGTCTGAGTCAATGGTTCGCGAAATATCGGATGTGGATTCTCGGCCTATGCCATAGAGTTGCGAAGAAGTTGGACTATACAGTTCACGCCTCGACGGCGAATGAGACAGGCTGCTGCCGGACATGCCCATGTCTTGCGAGGGAGCAAAGCTGCGACGCATCACAAGCTTTGGTTCCCGAATGGAGCTATCGTCGATGTTACCAATGACATGCACACTATCAACGGACTCGTGGCCACGTCGCTCTGTGTCTTTGGAAGCACCTCTCAGCCAAGATCCAGAAGTATTACCGCTCAGGAAGGCATTGGTTTCATTGGTCCGAGGGGCATATTCTTTTGACCGATCAGAGACAGCCCGGCTCTCCGCGCCCGGCCGACCACGTCGAACTAAAGATGTGTCCTCAGCCTCGCTGGATGGTTCTTGAGGAACAACATCGGCTTCGGCTTCTGCTTCTGCTTCTGCTTCTGCTTGCCGTTGTTGTTCCGCAGCGCGTTCCAACTTCCGGTGGAGTCTGGCTTGATCTTCAAGTTGCTTCCTCTCCCTGCGCCGACGGTCCCTTTCGAGCAATTCCCTTAGGGCACCGGCATCCAGGTCGTCGGCTAGCTTGTCTACTCTCTTCTTAGAACGCGAGTGCTCGTTGTGTGTGGCATAGGCAGGGGTCTTATCCTTCCGGATTGAAGGCTCAGACGGTCTTTGACTCTTAGCTGTCGGCACCCGAGGAGTTTCCACATAGCGTATGACTGGACGAGGCGTCCATGCAGCAAAAGTGTTAACCTTGAACGTATAGGATTCGAAAATATCCGAGAGTGAGGATGCAGCGGAGTCACGCATAGAAAGGCTGGTATCAGAACAATGTCGGTCGGAGCGTCGACTCTGGGCCCCATTAGCCCGGCGTGTCTCAATGGACAACCGCTCCGCGGGTAGCGGAGAGTGACGGCGAGGAATATCGATGGGAGCAGAAGCCAGCATCCGTATTTCCCGTTCCCTGGCAATCTCGTATGCCTTGCGCTTACTCAGCTTCTTCTTTAACACTGCCGGACCATTTTCGTTACGCTTGGATTTCAACAACGATGCAGAGCGAGACAAAGAGGGTTGTTCGTGGCTCATGGTGGAGTAAGTAGTGTAGGCGTCGGAATGCTGACCAGCTCGGGAGACCGGGGCCCGGTTTTCTTTGATCGGGGTCGGCTGCTCACTGTGTGACGTAGGTGGAGGGTACTGGACGACAGGGGAAGACGTCGGATGAGAAGCATCGTGCAAAAAGCTCGGGACAACTTCAACAGGTTGGGCGTGTCTGTTCTTCTGACGTTTGGAGTGCTTGCGGGACAGTCTGCCGAGCTTGCCGTCATCGAAGCTGTGGCGAGGCTCTTGCGACGACTGGACATCCGCCACAGCAGGTGCATCCAGTTGGATTGTATGCCGCTTGTTCTTACGACCAAACGGCCATATCGCCATGGCGTCTGGTTGATGATACCTCGTCCCGTCTGACCAGTCAAACGTGGACACTGAAACTATCGAAGGTGACGTTGGAGCGGGTGACTGGACTCATCAGGAAGGACCGGGGGGGAAGAAGGATTAGACACGCGACCAGCAGGCGAATTTAGAGCAAATAGCAAGGCACGGGTAACAGCCTGAAATAAACAAAGCACCAGACAAACAGGGTGACAGAAGAAAGGAAGAGGAGGAACAATCCGAGGTAGTAGTTTGTCTAGAGATGGAGGCGAACCGAGACATGCAAAGCGGTGGGAAGGGACTAGGGTGCAGCGGAGCGTGTGGGTTGTTGTAAGTAGTAAGTAGTGTGTGTGTGAGTGAGTAGGCAGTGGAAGTAGTAAGTGCAAGGATGATCCAGGCGCTGGTAATTGGCTACCTGAGTAGTGTAGGTATGGAGACCGGGGCGAGGATCAGAAGGGGTCGTAGCAGGTGACTATTGGTTTAGAACGAACGGGTAATCGTAGTCAGGAAAAGTAGTGGAAATTCGGTTTAGTAGCAATAGTGAGACCTGGAGCCACGCCACATGGGGTGGCGGAAAATCAGAGATACAGAGGGGTGGAAATCTCGTTTTCCGGTCACAAACAAAACAAGGAGTTTAGAAAGGAGAAGAGAAACAGAAAGGAGTGGAAAAGAGGGGAAAGGGGGGGAGAGGGAGGGAAGAAGAGGAAAAGCGAGAGAGAGAGAGGGAGACACCCCGATGAGATGAGAAAGCGAGGAAGATGAAGAAAGGAGAGAAGAGGAAAAAGGGAGACAAGACGACGAAGATGTAGAAAGATGGTAAGTAACGAGCGAGACGAGACGAGACGAGCAAAGAAGGGTAAGCAAAGCAAGCAAGTACCAGGTGATGAGCCCAACGAGGACCGACAAGCTGCCTATCTTTCGTAGTGGATTTTCCTACTTGACAGCCAGAAGAGAAGCAAAGCAAAGCAAAGCTATTCTGCCTACCTCCTAGTTTACCGACTAGTTAGTACCAACATACTATGACTACTTTACCTAGTAGTACCTACACAAAACGGTCCCAAGTCGAGAGCGAGGGACTGAGAGGGCCGAGACACAAACAAACCCGCCCGTTTCTGAACCAGGGGATCTCGTCAGTTGGTTAGTGGTTACACACCGTCGACCCTCCCCGGGCCCGGCCGTCACAGCAGAACCACTTGGAACCAGTCCCAAGTAATCCACCACCGGGACGCTTGATTTTTGATTTTCTTCATTGAATTTTTTTTTTTTTTCTGATTATTATCATGGATCATTTTATTATTATTATTATTATCATTATTATTATTGCTATGTATATTCTTTTTATTATTGTCATTAACAGAAAGAGATTAGTTCATTACCGACTTACTTACCTCCTCCATACATACTGCTCTCGCTCTCTCTTTCTCCTCTCTCCCTCTCTCCCTCTCTTTACGCTGCTGTTCAGGTGATGGATTATATGCATCAATCCGTTCTTTCTAATTGACCACCCCCTCCCCTCCCCTCCCCTTTCTTTTCCCTTACCCACCCAGATGTTCCTTCGTCTAGTAATACTAGTGGATAAAGAACCAACCCATTTTAGGGTCATTGAGAGGAGATAATGTCCAGCACATACCTGCAGATGCCGCCTCTCAACTCTCCAACGGTAACCCGTTTGCTCTCTTTCTGTGTGATGCTTATTTGGTACGTATCTAGCTAGTGCTAAACCAGGAGAGGGATCATAATCTGAATGGTAAGGGAGAATTGAACCACGGAAGACACAAAAATCGATTGTCGAAGAAAATTTCTTCCTAATGTGGAGAAAAGACCACTAGTGGCACCTAAACTGCCAGATTGCAACCCAATCCGATTATTGTTACCAGAAACTAGGGGCAACTTCATTGGTACCTGCCTTAGGGACTGCCTAGCCAGTGAATGACCCATGGTATCTGCCGTACTCCACACTCCATACTTAGAAACCCACTAAACCACAGCAGCTAGTAATTTATCCGGATATTGTTACTGCACAACGCAGCCCACTTTACAACACACTCGGTATGTGCGAGCTCCGTCAGTACCACCTCAAAACAAGGCGCCAATCGATACAGCCTCAGCTCCTCCCGGGGGGAGCCTTTCGGGGCAGGAGGCAAGGCGTTTTCTCCCTTGAAGATCATATTATCTCCTAGAACATACCTAGCTAGATACTGTTGTTCTCTGAGATCAATCTTTACTTACCTTCGTGAGATCTGCTAATTAAGACGAATTTCATAGCCAATGATGTCATGCTAAAGCTTACTATACCCTTCCAACAACACACACAGACGAGATCGATGCAACCTGATCGGAATTGAGTTTATCGTGATAAGAGAAAGGAAGCTTCTCTGAGAATGTGTTAGGCAGCTGCTCCTTAGCCTTTTTGGACGATGCCAAGGAAGTCTCCTCTAGTTATCGAGGGCGCGCGCCTACTATGACATATATTCAAGGAGCTCGACATGACCTGTAGATGTGGTCACCCCCGCGGAAAGTACCGTGCAAGACCTTTTCAGACCTACCTACATGAGCCGGATGCACGCTCAATACCCCCGCTCATCTTACCGACGGCAATAACCGCTCCTCATTCACAAAGTACCCTGGAATACTGAGAGCCATGCATGATTACTCCCCATGCCTACTTGGTGGCTTCGCAGTATCTAAGCGATCACACTTACAAAAATACAGTAAGCACGATGAAAGATTTTCTCATGTTCCGCGCCCCGGCCTTAGCTAAGCAGTTAGGCCCCATCCTCGCGACATGAGGAATGCTTAGAGGGGGCGAGATGACGGTCCAACGGGCTTCTTGGGGTGGGGAGACACCGTCCACAGGAGCCATAACCGCGATGCGAAAATCTTAGCTTGGCTTCAACCGAGTTTGTTAGAGCCGATGACAATTTTACCAGCTGATACGATCAAAGATCCAGACCAGCAGAGATGCAGTGTAGAAGTTTGGTGGGTGGGTTGTGTTCGTTCCTAGTCTGGCGGGCTAGTTAGGGATTGGTACTTGACCACTGATGTCCAATAGGGATCTCTGCTGGTTGATCGTATGAAGTAATCCTACTCAGCAGTGTCTTACTCACCTGATACTACTTATCTCCATCGGTCGGACATGGCTGACTTTTCATTATTCTGCACTCTTCCATCACCTGAAAACCACTCTGACACATTTTAGTCAGGTACCGCCCACATCAAACAGGGGTGGATGGAGTACCACGATGGGAGTTCATGTTAAACTTCCCGCTCCCAGCCCATCCAATTTCCGCTGGCCACAAGCTAATAGATTGACAATTTTGACAGCCATTGACAGGTCGAGTATGCATTGGCCAAAGCGTGCAGCACCCATCACAATAACGTAAACCGCCCGTAACCCGTAACGGCCGAATCTCCATTGTCAGTTAGGAAGCTGCTGCTCGCAATTACAGTGGGGCCTCTTTTTTCCGACTAAAAAATCTTAGGGTCCAAAGGTTGAGAACTCCAAAACATCAGATGCAGTGCTATGTCCGTCGATCACCGTGGTTTTGATCCGGTCGTATGTTCGAAATGAGAAAGTCGCAGGCCTGGACAGTATCAACCTGCGTCAGTGGCTCACTCTAGTTCGCTGCGATCAGACTGGGAGCGGTTCGACTCTCCCGAGTTTGAGTGACCTGAGTCATCACCACGCCGGACCCCGGCAACGGAAATAATCTCCTGTTGTTTACTTTGGTCCTTGCAGATTGCTTAGGCGGGCCCGACTCTCCCTAGTCCCTACGAAACAATTGAGAACAAGCGAGTTGGTGTCTAGCCACTCGAGTCTTGAGTTGGTTCGTACTCGACCGGAAATGCCGAAGCCAGGCCCATGCGAGCCCACTTACGCGCGTGCTGCATCAGAGCTGGAGGAGCGCAGAGTAGTCGCGCAATTTTACTATTGACCTTAATACTGTCTAGTTACTACACAATGTTGCTGGCATCCTGTCAAGCTCCCGATTTAGGTAAACGTTAACGATCTCTCTCGTCGTTACCTATCTCGTGCTTAAAGCCTGTGATTGTCATGACATCTGCTGGCCCGGCGCATCATCGGACTACTAGTTACCGATACGCTTCTACTAGTCTCAAGCTTGTCAGTTTTGTCTACTTCGTGACTTCGTCCATTGAGTTCGGACCATCACCCCCTCGCGATATACCCATAGGTTTGAAGGGTTCTCCAGCGCAAATCAGTGGACCAATGTTCCTGATTTCTTGGAGACCCGGCTAGATCTCAGTGTAATGAGAGGCACGAGATGAGAGAGTGAGACATTCCGTCTGACTAACACCCGCTGGAGCACAAAGCAGCCGCTAGCTTTTCCTGCCTTGCATGTACTGAGGCGAGAGCAGGTGGCCGTCAACCCTTGTTAATGGGGTTTCACTCGGAGAGTTCAGCGTGGCTTAACTCTGTGTACAGCATTCGGGTAGGCAGGGAAAGGTAGCCAACTCTCCCAGTACCATGGTTTTAGGGCAGCTCTAATTAAACGCACAGGACGCCCAGAGTTTTCTTGGTATCAGTAGTATGTTTTGTCTAGTCCCGGCGTCCCCTCCGTTCTAGATAGACAGATAACTAATCGTGCGTGCTCCGCTACCCATGCATGTCATGCTCCATCGGCCATATGGAGCATCCATATTGTGGGTTTTCGTAATCAGTATTCAGTCACTAGTAACTTATCACCGAACAGTCTCGGTGTGAACGCCCTTGTTGATAGGCGGATTAATTTCCCTTCTATGAGGGGGTGTGGGTCTTCCTAACATTAAGAAGCCGTTGTGTATCCAACCAATTTTGGTACCTGACTCCCTAACTTATTAGGATAGTCGGGTGCGTTACCCTTCCTATTTTGTGTTACATGCTGGGCGACATAGTATTTTGCAGAGCTGCTGAAGTGTCATAGGCAACGGAGTATATTTAATGGGTGTGTATGAGTGAGGAGATACCGTGCAGCAATGCGCTGCAACATAAATGTCCATTCCAGTACGCTGTGCTGCAGTGTGAATGGGCACTGCATTCAATACGTCCATGCACTCTGCACTCCATACAGAATAGTAATACTAGTACTTCATCCTTGCGTCGCAAATTCTTTTTCTCTTTTCTGAAGTATATACATCCTACATATGCATAAGCATATGCTGCTGTTGGATTGCCCCGGCGACAGTCTATACAACTCAACACACCAGCGTAATAGCACCTACTACTCCCAGGAGACTTCTACCCGATATCTCATTATGCCAGTTCACACCATCTATGTATATGATGTCTAACTAGTCTTCACACGCAAGAACATTACATG